ATATATGCATATTATATTTGTATATTTTTTTTATTGTTATTTGTTTAATTAATTATTTATAATAAACTTGCGTTTCTTGCTTATTATATTTTTGGTGGGATTTTGAACATATTAGACAATTGTGTAATAATTTTTTGTTTAAAGAAATATATAATAATAAAATGTATATATGTACCTACACTCGTCAAAAAATTATCGCAACACGGAATCAATATCAAATTTCGCGTAAATTCAAATAAGCGTATCTCCGCGAAAAATTATCGTATTTGAAAAATTTTTTTTTTAAAGGGTGAAGACTTTTTTTTTACTTTAAAAAAACTTTCGTTCAATTTTGATTTTATCCTCTCATACTCTCTCCACCCCGTTAAAAAGTAAGTTGCATTTTTTTGTCAAAAATTGCAAAATTTGACGAACGAACTCTACGCGGTGAAATAAATTTTTTCGCAAATCTTATCCAAGTTTTTGTAAAATATGGACTTTTTTCTACAAATAAGAAAAAAGCGAAGTACGTATGATTTTTTTTTCGCAAAGTTACGGCATATCAAAGTTATTTATGCATTTATGTGCAATTACCGCCAACATTAGCATTACCCGACGCGCACCAACAATGATTGTTGCTAATGAAGTTCTCCCTCACAGAATCAGTGATCAAACAAATTAAAAGACATTGCATTGTTCATCAAACAAGGGTTAACATTGTCGGTTGTTTGCATAGAAGTTGATTTACTGTTTTAAATTTGGTATGTAACACATTTTTGTTTTTAAATGTATAATTATTTGTTACGAATAAGTGTATTAAATTATAATTATTTTGATGGAACTTTTTATAGATGTACTTGAAAAGGGCTGCAATGACAGCCGAAACGTTGTATTTCAAATAATTATTCATAATAAATTATCGCCAGTCTGGTCGACTTTAAACGTTGAGGAGTGGTTTTTATTAATTATTACTGGCAACTTAAGGATTATTATTTATCAAATTAAAAGACGTTTACGTGAACATGGTTTAAGATCGCAAGTTCGACATTTTCCTCTTCTAATGTATGAAAAAAATGTATGATCCATATCGTTTACAATTTATTACAATTTATTGTTAAATATAATAAACACGAATAATATTATAACATCTACATCTACATTTTCTTCTTGTAATGTATGGAAAAAGTAAGATCCATACATTTGAGAGAAAAATGTCGAATTTGCAAACTTAAACCACGTTTCACGTAAACGTCTTCTAATTGTTTGATTACTGACCCTGTGGGGAGATCGTCATTAGCAATTTGTCGCGCAATCATCGTTGATGCGTGTCGGATATCGATAATGCTGGTGGTAAATGGAAAAATATATGAATAACTTTGATATGCGTAACTCTGCGAAAAAAATTGTATAAACTTTGCTTTTTAATTTGTAGGAAAAGTTCATTATTGCGAGATTGCGAAAAAAAAATTTATTTCATTTCGCAAAGGTCGTCACATTTCGAAACTTTTCGAAAACAAAAAACACATCTTACTTTTTAACGAGGTGGAGAGAGGGGAGAGGATAAAATCAAAATCGAACGAAAGTTTCTTAAAAAAAAGACTTCACCCTTTAACAAAAACTTAAATTAATTATTATTTATATATACTTACCTAATCCGCCAGGTAACAATAACACCAGATGATCACTCTTCCGGTTTTGACGTAATTTATTTCGATACCGTCCACTTTGATTTTTCGTCCTTTTATATAAATGATACTCTTTTTATGACGATTGACAATATGTGAGCAGTATATGAAAGTTGTGGAAATGGCAGATCGAAATGACAAATAATACGATCTACCATTTGATATTTTTACATTTGTAATATTTATTTTTACGTACCTCAATTTCACGAGTTTTATTTGTCATCTGAGACGGGCTGTTCGACTTAATAAATAATAGTAACTTGATATATAATTAATTTAAGCATAGCCCTCACCTGACGCGACCGGGTCCGTGGCCGTCAGGGCTCTTTATTAATATTTAAATATATAACAATGGGCGCCAACTAATTTTTATAAATTAGTAAATTGTAATTGGTATTTTAAATTAAAATTTTTTTTTAAGTTATATAATAATTTCTTATGCTCGTTTCACATGGCCTCGTAATTTTTAATAATTTATCATTGTGTTTGTTTTTATACGAGCTTGAGTATTGTTACGAATTAGTTGATTTTGTATTATTTTTTCATTAGTAAATTTTTTTCTTTTAAATTTAGATTAATAAAACAAAGAATTTTTGCGGAAAATTTAGTAGTATGTTCTCAGGGATGGACTTGGGAGGACCCAAAATTGTAAATTAAGAAAAATAAGGTCGAGAATTATATGGAAATGGAAAATTGCTCCGGGCAGAGCTGCATAAATAATTGCTACTCACACGTATAACCGTAAGCCAGATTTATAGAATAAACTCTCTCTCTCTCTCTCTTTGTGTATAAACTTGTCTTCGACAATTCAAGACAACAATCCTCAGTTTAACGTTTAATAATCAACGGCGGTCCGACTTCTCGGGAAACGACTCATGCAGCCTTTTACAACGTGTATTCTGACGGAAGGCCTATCGCAAAGTGCCCGCTCCGATCTTGGCAGTAGATTGTCACACCTGGCCTGGCTGTTGTCGGCTTGAATCGGTTAGAATAAGGCCTTCGTTCCTTTTCGTCAAGTATTCTTGAGTAATATGATGGATAGTTCAAACGTAACATGGATGTGACAAAATTAATAAGAATAAGATTTTTACAATAATATCTAACAAGGAAGGGTCGGAAGTGTCCCCTCCGATTTTAATGAGCTTTGAATATGTTGTAGTCTAGATCAAAATAGAAGACACGTATTTTTATAAGTGCTAATTTGGCCGTTAAAGGGGTGAAACACTTTCTTGAAAAAATCGATTTTTCATTTCTCAGCAAATACCGTCGAAGCGATAAGAGATATAAACAAAAGTTTCAAATAAAAGTTTTATGGTTTTTAATGTACTTCAAAATCATGTAATCAGATTTGTTGAAAATGTCATATTTTTCGAAATCCCTCCCCCCTCTCTTTCAATGTTTGAAAATTTTTAAATTTGTCTCATAACAAAACTTATAGCTCATTTAACGACAAATTCAATCATATATAATAAAGTTGTATTCCGAAGTCGCATTTTTCAGAAATAAATAAAAATATCCCTATACACGATAGAAGAGAGGGAGATGGAGAAAAAGAGAAAGGGGGGAGGAAGTATATGAGGGATGGAGCAGAAGGACAGAGAAAGGCAAAAGGAGGAAAGATGGGAGAAGATAAGAGAGTCGAGATACAATAGATGGTATGGAGAATGGAAGGAGGAGGGTTTACCGGAATACTTGAGAAAGGGATGGGGGAAAGCAGATGGAGAAGGATAGTGAGGTATAGAATGAACAATGAAATGAGGGGGCGAGATACTGGGAAGAGGAGGGGAAAAGAAGATGCAGACTATGTGGGATGGAAGATGAAACTTGGGAACATGTAATAGGAGAATGTGGGGAGAGGGGAATAAGGGAAACTGGTGGGAAAAAATGAGGGAAATACTGCAAGAAGAGGAGAGGGAGAAGGATGGATGAGGGAATTAGAGAAAAAGAGGATGGAGGGAGGGTGGAAGGGGAAGAGGAGGAAGGAGGTATGAGGAGAATGTGTGAAAGTATGAATGAGGTGTTGGGGAATGTATGGGGAATGGAAGCCGAGGCGAAGCGAGAAATAGGTTAGGGACAGCTCTTTCTCTCTCTTAATTAGTAAATAGGTAGATTAAGTTAGAGATAAGATAATTGTAAGATAGATGTAAGAGTAGAATGTAAGAGTAGTCTATAAGTTAAGATTGTAAGAAATTTGTAAGGTTTGGGTACGCTCCTCAAAAGCGCCTTTAATCCCTGAGGGGGCAAATAAAGTATTGATTGATATCCCTATACACTATAATACGCCCGCTTTATCCGCCTCATGACGCTCGTTATTCACAGCGACAGTTAATTTCTTCGCAAACTCACAGAGGCAACCATAAATAGCAATAAATAATTTATGAGAATATATTTTTATAAATTATAGAAATTATATTTATAAATATAATTTATAATTATATAATATATATAATTATAATATATATTATGTGACAATAAATATACATATAATTTATATGGAAAAGAAATGTTTTTAATGCACTTATAAATTTATAAGTTATAATCCTTTTAATTATTTATTATATATATAAATATATTTACTATCGCGCTCGCGTATATTCGATAGACGCTTTAATAGTAATATGTGTTCCACTGCACGCAGTTGTTAATAAAATAATATATTGCACCAACTCATTTCGCGAATGCGACATCTGTTTATTCATAGAATTGAATCTATTAACCTTGGCATCTGATCAATAATTTTCCTTGTCCGACTAGTTTTATTTTTCATGCATTAAAAACATTTCTTTTCCATATAAATTATATGTATATTTATTGTCACATAATATATATATTATAATTATAAAAATAAAACTAGTCGGACAAGGAAAATTATTGATCAGATGCCGAGGTTAATAGATTCAATTCTATGAATAAACAGATGTCGCATTCGCGAAATGAGTTGGTGCAATATATTATTTTATTAACAACTGCGTGCAGTGGAACATATTACTATTAAAGCGTCTATCGAATATACGCGAGCGCGATAGTAAATATATTTATATATATAATAAAATAATTAAAAGGATTATAACTTATAAAGCGAGCGAAAAAATGCGTCGGAATAAGAAGGTCAGTTGCCCGAAGTGCTGATACAGCCAGTATCACACGGCCAAGTCATCAAATAGAGAAAGAAATCACTCTCGAAATAGCGCTGAATTGCAATAAAATGCGAGGAAGGAAGTCTTTGGACTTCCTTCGCTTGCATTTTGATCACGCCACTTTAGAAATAACTGATGATTTTATTGCACCGCGTCATGCCACCGCGCGATTCCCTCCGATAATCGTTAGAACCGGAGGCGTTAAAAATCATCGCCTAAAAGCGGCGGACAGTCACAAATCAGTTATCAAATAATTAACAAGTGCTCGAGTTAATTAACAAGACTAGCCGTTATCCTGAAAAAACAATTGTGCCCCACGCACACAACAATACAGTATGTATGTACTTTTTCGATTTTTAAAACTTTTATAGTTTTTTGCTTTTACTTACACTTTATTCAAAATTGCGGTTTATCTGTTTTGTTTTAATGTATTTAAATTATAATTAATATTTTATTACTTTATTTATATAAGTTATTATAAATTATGTGATAAAACAGTGTTCTATTTTTCATGAAACTCGGAAAACATAACAAATTATTAATACGCATTAAATAATAAAATATTTTTGTTGCTAATAAGTATTTTTTTGCTAATATTTATAAAACAAATATACATAATGTTAATAATTTTTTTAGATAATGTTTAATCCAAGAAATGTAGCAGTACTGCTATACACTGCACTGTATATGACTGGGGAATTCCCAGAAAGTCCTGTTACAACAGATGAAAATGAAACAAAAGACATGATGGAAAATACACTTCGATCAATGTATGAAGAAGCGTTTGAAGTTTATGAAGAATCATCATTAGATTTTAAAACGAATTTGATATACCTGAAGTAGAACCTGTAATTGATGAAGAAAGAGAAGGTGACACATATTTTGTAAAAGAAATTGAATGTGTTGCGGATTCTGTACCAATAGAATATAAAAGAAATGCAGTAGAGTTTTGGAGAAGTGGAACAAAAAAGTCAAGAACTCTTGCAACTATAAGAAATAGATTTATAAATATATTTCTTATAGTTGCAAGAGTTCTTGACTTTTTGGAAAGTCACGTCATTACGTCAATTAAGAAGATGGGAGCAGCAAGTAAATCAAGGTGGCAGCAGATTTGATAAACTGAAAGAAATTTCAACATATACGTTAAATAAATTCCATGAAGGTATTGAAAAGGGAATAATTATTCATGACATTGATATTGCTCGATGGGCTATTCGCGCACAGAAGGAAGTAAATCTACTTGGGTTTACAGCATCATTATCATGGGTAAAAAGGTTTAAGCTTGCACATAATATCGTATCTAGAAAAATTACAAAATTTATAACAAAAAACATTTAGCGTCAGACAAAGATTTAGAAGCACGAAGCAAGTCATTTATCGAAAATGTTAAATATTTTATTATACAATATGGAATTGAAAATGTATATAATTCGGACCAAAGTGGATTTCAATTAGAATTTCATTCCGGTCGTTCACTATCACCTATTGGTATTAAAAAAGTAGAGCGCATAGTACAATCCATATCAGCAACTACACATAGTTATACTATACAACCTATTGTTTCAGCTGATGGTAGATTATTATCGCCTCTGTTTATTGTTTTAAAAGAACCTACTGGAACATTTGGTCCAATAGTAAAAGAAACAATGTTTAAAGATAATAATATCTTTGTCATGGCATCAAAATCTGGAAAATTAACATCGCATCATTTTGAGATCTGGATAAAAGAAGTGTTTTTTCCAAATGTTGGACCAAAATCAGTGTTATTATTAGATTCTTGGACTGGTCATTGTCCTGATATAATTCAAAGAAACAAACCAGATTTTATAGACAATATTAATTTGTTAACTATACCAGCTGGAGCAACGGGAAAAATACAACCTTTAGATGTATTCGGTTTTCGTTTATGGAAAAATTTTGTTAGACATTTTTCAGATACCATCATGCTTTTAGATCTTGACGTCAAGCTTCATTCAAGAAACAATATTTTAAAATTACTATCATTAACACATAATCAATTTTCATCACCAAGGTTTAAAAATTTATTCAAATATGCATGGTATAAAAGTGGTTATTTAGAAAAGAAACCAGAAGAATGTTTTGATACACCAGTAGATTTTTGTTTCAAAACTAATTTAAAACCAACATGTGATATTTGCGGTGAAATTGCTGTAATTTCTTGCGCATGGTGTAAAAAATCCCTTTGTATAAATCATTTCTTTCATGATCATCATCTTTGTAACCGATATCAACCATGAATATTTTTTATTCTTGTATGCAATAATTATGTACGGTATTTTATGTAATATTTCCATATACCATACATATATATAATGACTTAATAATGTAAGACAATGTGTATTACATTTACTTTATACTTTAAGAAATTAAATATTATAAAACAGAATATTTTGATTAGTAAAATACTCTATTTCTTTCAAGTATGTAATGTATGTTGTATATGAGCAAGGATGTTATCTGCAAAAATGTATAAATTAAAATATAGTAACATATAAATATGTTTTATTTATAAAACTTTTAACAAAAAAATGTATATTTGCATAAAAACGTTCTTTATCATTTAAAATTTGTTTACTTTATTATAAAAAACGACTATTTTTCTTAAAATTCAAGTTTATTCATAGAATTGGATCTATTAACCTCGACATCTGATCAATAATTTTCCTTGTCCGACTAGTTTTATTTTTCATGCATTAAAAACATTTTTTTCCATATAAATTATATGTATATTTATTGTCACATAATATATATATATATATATTATATATATTATATAATTATAAATTATATTTATAAATATAATTTCTATAATTTATAAAAATATATTCTCATAAATTATTTATTGCTAATTTATGGTTGCCTCTGTGAGTTTGCGAAGAAAAATAACTGTCGCTGTGAATAACGAGCGTCATGAGGCGGATAAAGCGGGCGTATAGTAGTGTATAGGGATATTTTTAATTTATTTCTGAAAAATGCGACTTCGGAATACAACTTTATTATATATGATTGAATTTGTCGTTAAATGAGCTATAAGTTTTGTTATGAGACAAATTTAAAAATTTTCAAACATTGAAAGGGAGGGGGGAGGGATTTCGAAAAATATGACATTTTCGACAAATCTGATTACATGATTTTGAAGTACATTAAAAACCATAAAACTTTTATTTGAAACTTTTGTTTATATCTCTTATCGCTTCGACGGTATTTGCTGAGAAATGAAAAAATCGATTTTTTTCAAGAAAGTGTTTCACCCCCTTAACGGCCAAATTAGCACTTATAAAAAAATACGTGTCTTCTATTTTGATCTAGACTACAACATATTCAAAGCTCATTAAAATCGAAGGGGGACACTTCCGACCCTTTCCTTGTAAGTGTAGGAACTCCCGACGAGTCGGATCGCATTGACGTTGAGAGAGATTTTACTGTTACACATCGCTGATAGTTGTCGAATTAACAGAATTGTTCTCTTGTACTCTCATTTTGCGTATTGTAAACGCGAAACAAACGTACGTGTTTGACCACATATTGTGCAAATTATGACTGACTAGATATAACGTAAGCGAGCGCTTTTACTTTTTAATTTATTCATGTGTACAAATAACTTATTCTAAACAAGTTTATAATAAATAAGTCATATTTATTTTTACGTCCATATACTTAACAAACTACTTTACAATAAATAAATCATATTTATTTTTACGTCCATACTTATTGGAAATAGAAAAGTGAAAAGTTATAATCTTTAAAAATTAATCATTATTAATTTTTACCAATATATAAACATTCATAACTCATTTAATTATCTTAAATTATAAAAATTTATATTGTTAGAATTAATTATTTATTACATTATACAAATTGTTAAACGGTTGGTGAAGTAGGAATATAAAATCTGTTAAAATATTTATGACAATTTAGTAACATAATATTAGTTGAACGATATAATAATGATGAAAATACTAAAACTGGAATGAAAAAACTGAAAGACGGGACGTTTTATAATAACTATTTTTATATACCGTATTTAGCAGACTAATAGAACTCATTTTTTTTCGAAGCAAAATGTATATGTATTTTTGTGAGAAAAAAATTATATCTATCATTAAAAATAAGAGTATATAATTTTCAACATAAAATTGCTAGCGATTATAACACGTATTAATTATTTATACATTTAGCGCAATTATTGCAAAGCGTGTGCACGCAAAAAAAATATAGAATAATTTAAATAACGTTCTCGTAATTAAATGATTGATGCATTATCAGCTGATAACTTTAATCACTGGAGAACTCCAAAAATACAAATTAAATAAAAAAAAAACGATAATTTTAAAGTACATTAATCATTCTATATTTTCATTTTGTGTTTATCAATTTTAAATTGAACAGTCGAAATACAACAAGAAGCTTACATTTATATTTAAATGTATATGAGTTTTTCAGACGCAGTCTAAGTGAATTTTATTTTAGGAGGCATTTTAAATATCATTATGTAAGTTCAGGAGACACATGTTTTTCAAATAATATCTTTTATCAAACTGAGGATCGTTCCATTCATGTCTTCCGACATTTTGGAGCCCGTGCTTGCATTTTTAATTAGTTTCTGTATATTATCAGAACTCTTTGGAAGAGCATTGTACATGTTCAGAACGATAAGAGAAGTTTAATAAAAACCAGAATTGTCGTAATACAACCAACAGCTTATGTTGGTTTGTTTATTCGAAAATACGAATTTCAAAAAAAATAATTGTTTAAAAAATTTTTAAATTATTTCCGTTTTCGATGCAGTTTCAAAATATTTGAATTCTCAGAATGTTATACGTGTGCAAAATGTTATGTTATTTGATGAAATACAAACATATACATTTTGAATATATTATACATTTTTCTCAATATTCCTTATTTTTGCATGTATTAAAAGTTAATATATTTTTATAAAATTTTTTACATTTTATATTTATATTTTTATTTCGAATACGAAGGATTATGCATAGTGAATGCTCTTATGCTATTATGCGAGATGGACTTGTTCTTTCTATTGCAACACTACCTGAGTTATAATAAAATACCAGTACATTCTAGAATTTGAGATCACGCTGTGCCGTGTTATTTTTCTTGAAATTTTTCTTTTATTTAATGCATGGGGCGGAAATATCCTGCTGCGTTTCTCAGATTCGCTCCTCCATTGTATGCATAGCAGCGTTGCAACTGTGTACATGTACGTCCGCAAGATTTTTTCCAGGAGATTTTTTTTATATTAAATTTATTATATTATATTATATTATATTAATTTTTTATAATAAATTAATTTTTATATTAATTCATTTTATATGTAAATAAATTCCAGTGTTTTTTTTCAAAAAAGGAACAAATGCTTAATTTTTGTACTGATTCCAAGGAAATCTCTGCGGATGCCTGTGTAGCAGAAGAGCTGAAGGGTTTCGGGTTCGCAGGTAATACAAAATAAGAGTGGACAGAGAGAGGGAGTTCTAATAAATAAGGCGTGCACTGGCAGTGCAGCCCTGTTCGCTGCATCGGCAGACGCATAGCAACGATGTAACAGTGAATTTCGTGCACTTGTATCGTAAACGAAGAGTTGGCTATACGATGCCAACAATTCGTTGCGATTGTTTCAAACTATAAATTCCTTCGTATTTTGCTGATTTTTTTCTGTAATGGCTACAATAACGTGTCTGTGTACGAAGAGGATTCTCAACTACAACGATATAAAGGACACCATGAATTTCAAGATGGAACCACGTGGAAGCAATCCAATAGTTAACAAGTTTTGAAAGAAAATACTATTGCGGGTAATTTTTTATTCGTAAAATTTTTGTTAAATTTATCGTATTACATACTGTATATGTATATATGGCGCTTTTGCAAAAATATTACTTTTAACATACATATGTGCATTCGAAACTTATTAATCTAAATAAAATATTGGTCTGAGAAATCGATATTCAGATTTAATAAATTAAAAAATTTTTTAAATTTTTATGTAATCTATACAAAAAAATTTTCTCTTAAAATTTAGCCTGCAAATTATGGTATTTCGAAGAATTTGATGAGAATGTCTTTGATTAATATCTACCACAATAAAAAATGAAGATCTACGACAATAAAATATAAAATATGTTTAATTAATTTTATTAAAATATATAATAAAATTTAAATTATTTTAAGATAAATTAAAAACTTAATAATTCTTTAAGTATTTTAAATAGAATGAAAATAAAAAAAATAATTTATGTAAAATATTTTATATAAATTTTGTAATCAAACATAAGATTTTCAATCTAGCTGAATCGCTCATGATAATTTTAATAAATTGTATGATACTTTTTCGTTTATTATCAAACATGATAAAATTTGTATAAAATTTGCGATAAAATATAACGAAAAATTCTTTCTATATATAATTGTTTAACAATTGTGTAAAGACGAGGCAATTACTGAATAATTTTAACTATTAAGACTGTTTAATCGAAAAATAAGTCTCTTTTAGATTTGAATTCTTAATTGAATTATTTATTGATACTTTGCTCTCTTTCACAGCATGCAGCATCCGCAGTCTCCACAATTACCGAAGACAGAAGATTATCCGAGCGTACTTATCGTCGAACTTTCAGCCAAATATCTTCATTTACAGTCAAATCCAACCCTATTGAATAGTATTGTTTTATCAACGACCGTATACATGTGCTTTGCTGCTTTATAGTAATTAATACTACGTATAATAAATACTATTAAAAAAGATCGCGCGCTGCAAGCGGAATAATCAAGTAAAATTTCACACGCATTTAAAATAACACCGCTATCGATAAGTACTTTATTTGTTCAATTAATATTAAAACATAAAATAGCTATGATTTTGAGAATTGAATTGAAGTCATATAGGTGTGTTTTTATACACGTTTTTGATAATGGTCAAAATTTAAAATAGTAAAAAGATAAGGACCGAGTTATAGAATGTGCTTTGAAAAGGAATTCGTTGGTCTAGTGTTTCATTTTTTAAATTAAAAAATTAAAAAATTAAAAAATTAAAAAAAATAAAGTAGCATTAAGCAAAATTGTTAGTTTAGATAATCCCCATTAAATGTATGCTAGACTTACGGACCCTGTAGCCTATAAGATCATCATGTGTGGTTCGATTTCGAGGTCCAGGATCATTTCCTCGAATATCAAAATCGGGTTAGAGGCGATTATGATACTTGAGGAACTAGTTGGATTCGAACCACACACGGCGTATTACATACGACATATCATCTGACAAAGATTAGGTAAACCAACAATTCCGAAACACGTTCAATAATAAGGCCTTATAAATGTAAGAAAATCAATATTTACAGTCTTGAGTTTTAACCTTACTCGAGAAAGTATATTCAAATCAGCCGCCTAATAGTGAAATAGCTCTACTTAGTAAAACTCATAAGATAAGGTAGAAATCATAAGATGAGATGCAGGGTAAAAATTTTTAAAAAATCTATAGATTTGATATATGAATGAATATTATAATGAATTCTTATAAAGCTGAATCTTTGCTCTACAATAAGATATAGAGATTGAACTTTTTAACTCGTGTATTTTTTACAAATAGGTGAAAATAACGAAAAAATTTGCGAGTTTTCTCCTTCTTGTATAAACTTTAAAAAAAGTTATGTAAAGTGACAGTAAATTTTATCGACTGAACTTTTTATGTCCAGATCTTTACTACCAGATCTTTATCTATAAGTGGGAAATTACAACAAACATGGATGTTACAACTAACACGTACACGTTATATTACTTGTTATATTCCATTTTATTATAGCTATGTAACAATTATATATTGGTGTTTGCTGGGTTTTTATTGTATTCCACGCCGTTTATCTCTAAGTAAATTTTGGAAAAGCTATGAGTACTTTTATTGGGTTTTATTTTATTCCATTCCAGCTATTGAGAAATATTTACCAGACAAATATATACAACATTGGATGCTTTTTGTTATTTCACTGAACATATTGTTACAAGATGAAAGTCGAATTCAGCCTGATTTAGAGATAGCAGAGTATCTAATTAAAAAATTCGTTGAAGAGTTTGAACAACTTTATGGTGAACGAGAACTCTCATATAATATTCATCAAATGATTCATTTGGGTTTAAGTATTAGACGATGGGGTTCCTTATCTGGAAGCAGCGCTTTCCAGTTTGAAGATTTTATAGGAACTTTGTCTAGAATGGTTCACGAATCAAAATATATTGACAAAGAATTAATTAATAAAATCAAAATCTTTCAGGGAACACAAATTTTAAAGAATCGTGTTGAACAACAAAAATCAACGTCTCAGCGCATTCTTCTAGACGAGTGTTTAGGAAGATGTGTAACAGTTATTTTTTCAGATGAAGAGCTTTACCTCTTAGGAACAATGGGTTTGTTAGTAGAAGATGTAAAAGTTTATTCAAGAGCCCGTATTAATGGTGAAATATTTATATCGAAGCTGTACAAAGCAATTAAAACAAGCTATATAGTAAAATGTAAAATTTCGGAGAATTCTGTTCTCTATGGATCAATTAAATTTTTTATCACTCATCATGAAACTTTATATTTTATAATTAAGCAATATTTGGTGCATTACACTAAAATTTTGTATCACAGAGAAAGCCGATCAAAAATTGATCATATATTATACCAGACGGATCTCCATTAATATTTCGGATAAAAAATATACATAACTTGAACAAAATGTTACAAATAAAAAATTATGTTTGTATTATTCCTAAATTAATGAAGAAAAATGTCGTATAAAGAGACTAGAATTAATAGAACTCTTAATTCATTACTATCTTAATAATCCCTAAGAATTCTGTGCTCATTAATTGTATTTAATTAATATTATTTTAAGTTTTTATTTTATTTTAATATTATTTTAATATAGAATTATGTACCTAAATACTATAAAACTTCTTTGTCATTTCTTTTGTCATTTATTATATAGTGTATCGAAGAAATAAAAATACAGTTGTGTATCGTTGTGAACCATCTCTATGAGTTTTGATGATTTAATTCTTTTCTATATTTTCTTATTGTTATCAACTATTGCTTTTCTATGTAGATGCAAATGGTTTAATGACTTATTCAGAATTAATATAATATATTTTATATACATTTTATTACTATGAGAATGTTGTCAGTTACCAAAGTTGCATCATGACACAATGTATGTATATACATGTATATTTATATATGTATAATTAAATGTATAAATATATATGTAAACCAAAATTTTATCGTTCGATTAAACTTATATTTGATCTCATATAGTTTTATAATTGCATGTAATTTTATACAATTGAATATAACATTATATATTATATATAATCAAATATATTTATATATAATTATATATGGGCAAATTTTCTGGAATGCATGACAATCATATGATTATATATATAGTTATATATAATCCTGTATGATATTATATATTGTCATATATAACCGTGATGAGATTATATTATATTTATATACATATAATTTTATACACACACAACTGAATATAACATTATATTTATATATAATCATATATATAATTATATACATAGTTATGTATAATTCTGTATGATGTTATATATTGTCATATACCCGTGTATGAGATTATATACCCAGATAGCCACAGTAATTATTATGACATCAAAATGATGTCATAATAATTACTGTGGCTATCTGGGTATATTTACATATAATTTTATACAATTATATATATATATTATATATTTATATATATTATATATATATATATATATATATATATATATATATTAATATACATTTATATATAATTATACGAGTACATGAACTTTTTTTCCCGGGAGATAATTTAAAATATTTAATGAATTAAAATAAAGAATATGAGCAAAAAAGTAAAGGCAATATTTTTAGTCCAAATATTATCTCTAACAGCACACATATTCGAAAAACGTTCAGAGGACATCTTAAGGACATCCAGAGGATGTTCGAATGTTCTCTAGATATCTTTTGAATCTTGATGATCTTTCATCGGATATATGTTGTGCTGTTAGGGATATTTTGATATATAAAAATTTATTTTATGCAATAATACGCACATAAAAAGAATTACTATCGATTTATCTGTGTATATTTAATCTACTATTGTCTACTATTGTTTCTTATTAAGCTTACGATAATTTCGAGACAGTGATTAAAATTTGGTCTATTGTTCTCCTCACTCCAGCATTGCTGCATTAACTGATACAACGTCGACGGACAGTAGAGAGGTTGCGACAGCCTGTTTCCTTCACATATATATCCTATAACATTTATTGCATTTTTATGGTAGAATAGGGGAATTCACCCAATGACATAATTTCCCACATTAGCACCCCGAAAGCCCAAACGTCGCTTTTTGAAGTAAATAATTGGTACAGTATAGATTCCGGTGCCATCCAGCGAATAGGAAGAGGGTCTCTTGTTTCCTAAAATACAATTTTAACGTATAGTTTAGGTTTTTCACTATTTCGTTTATTTTTAAAGTAAGCGTTACGTGCAGAGAAAATAAAAAATCAACACATCTTTCCCTATATACATATGTATATTCTCTGTATATACTGTGTGTGTGTGTGTATATATATATATATATATATATATATATATATACATACAAATAAAATTATTAATTTTTTCACATTATTAGCTTTAAAATGTTAATATTATATTAAAATACAGAAAGAGGATTTATTTATTTTAAAAAATTGTACTTACCATGCGGTAATATTGATCATTGTACATATTCCTAGTTAGTCCAAAGTCACTGATTTTCACAATATGGCTTCCATCATTTCTCGTGGATATTAAGCAATTTCGACATGCAAGATCTCTATGTACATATCGCATTTCTTCTAGGTAGTGACAACCCCGCGCAACATCTTCGCACATGGCGAGTAAGTCTTGCAGGCGCAGACTTTGTGCACTTAACGGGTTGAATGTTTGATTCTCTCTCAAATATGTCAATAAGTCAGTTTCCATTAATTCCAATATGAGCATCGGTGAATCCGTATTCAAGCAAATGCCCAATAATTTTAGAACATTTTCGTGATCAAATCGGCTCATCCTTTTGGCTTCTTGCAAAAATTTCTTTTTTTCCAGCAAGCTGGCATTATCAGGTAACCTTTTTATGGCACACATTGTTTTCAACCCTTCTAAATTGGAGACAATTCCTTGAAATACCTGCAAAATATTCCATGATTGACATAAATCAATAAAATGCACGTTAAAATCGTTTAGATTATTTATTATAATAATAAAACGCATATTTTGATTTTGAAAATTATATTAATTAAAAAATGTGTTGTTAAATGTGTGTTTAAATTTTCTAATTAAAAAATAATGCAAGTTTTGAAGAATATAGTAAAGTAATGAGAAATAAGTTTTTACTATTCCAAATGCGCCTTCGCCTAGAAGCTCATCTTTTGAGAGAATCTCTTCAATCTTAATTTTTCGAATGTTTGGATTTTCTTGCAACTCTTGTTTTAAAGCCGTTACAGTAGTGTATTCGATGTTAGATGTATCTATTGGAATTAACTCGATTGGTGAAGCCGTTAAAGTAGTGTATTCGATGTTAAGTGTATCTATTGGAATTAACTCGATTGGTGAAGGTGGTAGAGTTGATGAAGGTTGAACAGTCACACTTCTTTTGCATTGTGCTAGAATATATAAATATATAAATATATAAATAGAGTGTATTACGTTTATAATATTTTATAACGTAAAGTACACTAGGCTTATATAATATTTTACATTGAGGAATTTAAATTATTATTGCACAAGTGTTAAATCTTTAGAGAGGCAGAAATGTTTTACATATATTAAATTAAAATGAAATTTTTGCACTTAAAGTTCAAAATTTATATTAAATGTTTACTTACAATAGTAAATACAAACACAGCATCCAAGGATAACGACAACGCCTGATATTGATAGATATGGTAGCATAGGAATTGCTACATATTCTGCATTAAGTTCTTCTGAGGTAGTTGTCAGTATCATACCTCGGTCAAAATTTATCGGTAATTTGTAGAAATCAAAATAGAAATTACTCAATGCCAGCTTTACTATGTACTCTGTGGATGGGGATAAATTCTGTATTTCGTAATACCTTTCGTGCGTCTGAAACTTTTTTAATTCGCTACGATCTTTATTCCAACGATGGCCCACGGAGATGGTGTATATAGTGGTGGCTAAATTGTAATTTTCGCATTTGTCATTGAGAACCGGCTCTGGAAGCCTTACGACAATACTGTTCGCAGTTATATTCATTACTTCAACATGATATCTTTCATCTGACATCTTAGGCATCTGACATATTTTCGAGGGATAGCGTTGTAAAGAGTTACCAATAGCTTTAATATGATGTAAGTCATTTGTGTAGAACGTAATATTTTGAACATCCTCAAATCCAATTGTTTTGCTATCGAGTTTTGCATCCTTTTTTGTAAAATATAGATTTCTTGTTTGTACTGACTGTACAAGTAAATATTTGTCTCGTTAATCGTTAAAGAATCAATCAATTTTTCATTATTTCCAGCGCTTAAAATCAGATTACATTTACAACCATGAATGTCCGTTGCGATTAGGCTACCTTTTGATATCCAGTAAATTAATGGATTGTCAATATTTATGTTGTCAATCTGCATAGAAGATGGTTCTAATAGTTCGTACTGGCAGAGACAATTTGTATCATATAATTTTCTGCTTTGCAAAAAGGTTTTATGTTTTTCTCATTGACATTCGAATGCATTAACACATACTTATTATCTGAATTTAAGCCCATCCAATAAATATACCTGAAAAAATGCATATTATTCTCTATTTATAAAACATTATTGTAATTAAATGTATAATTTTATTATTGTTAATTTTTAGATTAGATAAAATTTAAATAAAAATTTACCCTTTAGACGGTAGTACAGATAACAATTTAGATCCATTTGTGTTTAAAATAATATCGTATTTGATCATGTCAATTTGCAACAATGTTAAATCTAACTTCATAATGCTGGACTGGTTGTTAGAGTGATTAATTTGTATCCAATAAAGATTTCTAGCTATCCAATCGATGCAGAGATTATGTGCAGAATCATCTAGGTCAATAATTTTTGTGTGCTTTTGCTTTGTTTCGATTGAAAAATCCGATGTCATTAGCTGTGATTTGTCATTGATCCAATAAATTTTACGTTCTAATGTCGAGTAAGTGAATTCTATCGCTCTGAGTTCCTTAAATATATGAGAGACCTTCTGCAAATCTATATCGAATATTTTTATACCACTCCACGAGCCGATCAATAATCGAGGTACCGGATTCTCGTGCGTGGTCGACACGTTGATGATCTCTGTGTAATTGCTAACACCAATTTCATTATGCGCTCGTACTTTGAAGTAGTACATTGTGTTAGGTCTTAAATCATGCACTTCCAGTTGCAATTTCGTAGCTGGAATAATGACGATTGTAGTGTTCATTTCATTCGTCACGTTCTCGATAAACCCATACTCAACTGTATATTTTTTTATTTCTTTCCCTGTGAATGCAGGTTGCTTCCATCTGTAAAGAAAAGTATAAGATATTTAAATTATTTGTTTCTTATTTTTGGTGACTTTCTGTCAAAGATTTAAAATATATACATATATATGTGTATATATACATATATGTACATTTGTATATGTATGTCATTAAACTTAAAAGAATATGAATTAAGAATTTAGATTTTTTTACCTGAATGTTACAGAAATGTTGTTTCTTTCGTTTATATTTTTGTCAAACTCTACGAATATCCTGGGAAATGTTGGTTCACTTGGAACATTTTCTAGAGTTTTCAAAATCTTACATAAATATGTACATGGATCGAAATATATATAAATAAAATTTTCTTGAGATTTTAAAATTGAATATATACATTAGGTATATATTCAATTTTAAATATATTGAATGAGTCAACTGAAAACTTTAAATTTTACCTCATAATTTATTGAATGCAAAAGGTACATATCTATATCATTTCTCTCCGAGGTTTTCACGGCGTGCACAACAAGTGTTCTAATGTTTCGAAAGTGTATGAATACCTCCAGAAAAAATATCTTTTACCCGAAAGCATAGGCACTTATACTCGTATACACGCCTGCTGTACCTTTTTTCGTCAATAAAAGATTTTTTTCAAAGATATCCATGCATCTCCGAAACGTTAAAACACTTATATTGCATATTACGGAGATTACGTAGAAAAATAATGTAAGTGCGTATCTTTTGTATTCAATAAATTACGAGTGCAAAAATATTTAATGTTTCCAGTTGACTCAATTATATATAAGAATAATTATATAGAAGAAGTCTGATTTCAGTATTAGATAGAAGATAAAATAGATTAATTTTTATTTTGTTAATAAAAAGTAGTATATCTCAACTGTATGCAGCAACTCGCACGAAAAAATACTACAAGAATACGAAACAATTACTGACATAATAATATAGTTCTTTAATAATATATTATTGATATACCAGTAATTTTTTCGTATTCTTGTAGTTTTTTTCGTAAGGGAAGTTTGATGATAGGCGTTTCTAAATAATAAGGATAATTTAAATTAAAGATAAATTATTAATTTTTATACAATGAAGTTTTTATTTATATTTTTCTTGTTGTTAAAAGATTTCTTAAATTTTATTTTTATTCTCTTAAACTTGAAAAGTTAATTAATAATTCATTAAGTTCGTTTAATGCAAAGCAAAAACTAAAATTAAAATCAGGCCAACTAACGAGCAATAATCTTATGATTTAATTGAAACATAATTTATTCGACATCTTTTGACAATTCTTTGTAAACGTTTCAACTTACTTAGTGTTTTCTTGATTGTATTTATATTAAATTAAGAATGTACTGAGATAAAGACTAAAGTATGTGGAAACGTTTATAAAGAATTGTCAAAATATGTTAAATAAATGTTTTAACTAAACCATAAGATTATTACTCTCCTTACTGTTACCCTTGCGAAAAAAAAACTACAAGAATACGAAAAATTACTGGTATACCAATAATACGTATATTATTGAAAAACTATATATTATTATATTAGTAATTTTTTTGTATTCTTGTAGTTTTTTCGTGCGGGTAGTTGGCTTGATTTTAATTTTATCTTTTAAAAAATTAAATTTTGTGTGTTTGGATATAATTCGTTTATTTTGATATGTATTTTTATTTTTGCAACTTATCAATAAATTTTAGAATTGTAAACATGCTAATAAATTCTTACCGGTTGTACTTCTCATGCGTCTCATCACCCATTTAGAATGTTCGACAAATTCATTCTTTGGTAACATGTAATGATTGTTGATATTTGAGATATTCTGTTTATGTTATGTAAAAATATATATATATAATATATTATATAGCTTATAAATGTATTATTCTTTCAAATTAATGAAAAAATACATGTGTTAGACAGAAATTTTATTTTATAAATAATTCAACATTAGATATAATTTCATTATTCCCTTTTTCTTGGTAGAAGTAGAAACTTCCTAAATTCATATATTTAAAAAATTTTTAATCGAAATTTTATTAAAGAAACTCCTTTATCCCTGTTCTACAAAACTTTTAATTCTTCTTTATCGCGATGCTTTTTCGCATCTACGTTTTTTTAGGAAGGACAATTCATTAAAAATAAAGTCTTGAGCTGAGATTTACTTAATTCTTTTTATCGTAAATACCAAGAAAAATTAATGTTTTCTGTGTACGAACCATAAAAATTAATTCTTCTATGAAACTAATTCAACGCGTTTGATTCTTACTTGTTCCTTACTTAAAATTTAAATTTATTGTTATATTTTTTTAAGATAAACAAATTTTGATAAGCACGATACCATAAATTTTCGATTTTTATTCCGATGAACATATGTATTTTAACATGTATATACTGAAATGATATACATATGTATATATTTGCACATTTATTCCAAGCTATTTACTAGAAACTATTAAAATCAATTGATGCTAAATCAAATTCCATTCTATTCTTCGTCATCGAGTTCAAGTATTTAACGATTATGTTATATTTTACAATTTATTTTAACTCATAAATTTTGATTTTATTTAAAAAAAATTGATTTTATTTAAAAAGATTGATTTTATATAAAAAAATTGATTACTTATTTAGGTTTTATACAAAACTTAATAAATAAATATTTAGAGAAAGTAAGATATTTTAGAAATTACACAAAGAAATATATAAATAAGCAAAAATATTACGTTTACATTTGTGAATGTAATAGATAATTAATAGATTCAACGGAATTATTAATGTTAAAAATTTTATTTTTAAATACAACAACTATATAGAATAACATACACGATGTTTAAGTTTTAATATACCGTTTTAATTAAATTTAATTTTGTATACCATATAATATCAATTTTTAAATGGGTGACGCAAAATCTATATTTTTTTTAATTTTTAATCTTATAATTTATTATTTATATATTTATACTATATTTTTATAGTATTAAAACTTTACAATTTTATTATACAATTTGAATTACACAAGTAGTCTATTATCTGTAATATATTACATATAAAATGCTTCATAAAAAACATTTTATCTATGATAAACTCATTGTTAGATTAGAGCACATGAAAATACTTTCTCTAAGAGACTGACCGAAGTTTCAAGATCCTCTGATGAGAACGCGATGGCCGTCTTCGTCAGTATTAACACATTTAACAAAACGTATAATGTTATTATTGTTTGTAACATAATGATTTCTTTTCTTGTAGATGTTTATATTATTGTTCGGCTTTCGCGCGAGATGCCGTGGATCAACTGATCACTTTAACGATCTCTCTACTATCGGCTTTCATTATATGACTGATCATTCAACTGATTCAGATTATATACCTATATATATACTAGTCGGTGTTTTCGGTGACTGTTCGAATATCCTAAGTTTTTACACTGTGTTCGTGCGCCCCAGTGACAAAGGTCCTGTTATTTTGCAAAACTGCAAAAATAATTAAAAAAAATAAATTATAAAAATTTTGCGCCCTCCCAAACTTTATGCCCTATGCTAGGGCGTATATTATACGTACTGCATTATATATGTCACAAAGTTTAATAATATATTTATTTGAATAAGAATAAGTTTAATAAATCATGCACACAATATAAAAACCAAAAAAATTAAGGAATAAAAAATTAATTAATTAAATTAATAAATATCTAAATTAACTCTCTCTCTCTCTCTTTTTTTAATGGGGTAAGACTGTAGAATGCATAATAAATGTGACAAAATATGAATTTTTAAATTTGATTTTTTAATATTTTATTTATATATTATATAATTATATAATTTCAAATATTTAATTATATATAATAATCTAATAATATTTACGTCGACGGTACATAGTTGTTCTCATTTAAAGAGTTTTTGACAGTATAAGGGATTTCTTATATCTATGAAAACGATTCCAACAATTTTTTAAATCTTTTTGTTGTTCTTAGAAAAACTAGATGACATAAAATCATTCTTTCATTTTTTTAATGATTTAATAAAAAAGCACTTTTATTTTTAATGTTTTAATCATTAGCGGCGATAATTAATTTATTCCTAATTATTTTAGGGTCGAGTATATATACTTGAAGGTACGTTACGTAATTTTTTCTAAATTTTATATTATTTGGTAGAAAGTCATTTAATTAATGTTTTTCTATATTTTTAAACATCTTTATCATTTTTTGATCATCAGTGGCGATGCAAACGTATGTAATAAATTACTATTTCTAATTTACTATTAGCTATAAAAATATCTTGATTTCCTGTGTATTATTCGATCTCTTTGACATAATAATCGAATATATTACACATATACACATTATTTTGCACTAGATTTAAATAAAAAAATAATCGTAACTCTTTAATTATTAATTAATTAAATAGTGGTTAAAAGCTCTTGATAAAAATATATAGTGTAAGGTAGTACAAAGGCTTATAGGAGCTATAATGAAGACATTAAATGTAGTAAAGTCAGAAATAAAAGTTTCAGCTGCCATTGCTAAAAAACTTTCAGTGTATCTTAAGTTGTTGAGAAATGCAAAAACAATATAAGTTTAATTTGAAAATATACGTATAGAAGATAAAAATAATTATGTTGATGCACGATTGTTTGGTTTCCTATAAATTATGTAAGATGCGCAGAAGAAAAGCTAAGGCTAAGGCAATAATGTTAAATATATAAATATATATACCGCACATTTTTTTACTCCCGATTAAGAAATGCAGATAAAATGTTATTTTTATTTTAATATAAAATTTTATTTTTGCTAAATGTATTTAATTATACTAACTAAGAATTCTAGATAGCTATTAATTTAGTGCAATACTTCTTGTGTACAATTTATTTTTATTACATACTACAAAACCGACTATGTGCGCTAAATAATAAAACTACGTTTTCATATATTATTCTGTTCTTAAATAAAAAAAAGTTTTTATTTAAAAATAGCATAAATAGATAAAAATTATTATATTTATTTTGCCTTCCTTCTTACTAAATTTCTCGAACTTACAGGTATTATGTATTTTTATGAATTTGTGAAAATATTTGATTTTTGAAGCATTATAATATTTTGATTTTTCATTTATAAGATTATAAAATACAAAAGCCGAAGAATATAAATCTTATAGAGATTATGTTCTGTAAAATATATATTCTTCAGTTTTTATATTTTATAATCTTATAAATGGAAATCAGGATATTAATGCTTCAAAAATAAAATATTTTCGCAAATTCGCAAAATATTTTTGTAGTATCTACGAAATTTGCATAATTTTTTATGCATAAAAAATCATCAAAAAGTCAAAAAAAGTCATAAAAAAGTCAAATTATGTTTCCTTAAAAGCATAAAATGATATTATCTTGACTTTCTAAAAATTATTAGTTTTTGATGTCATCTTGACATTTAAATGACTTTTTGTTCTATTTGGGTTTTTAGTGCTCATATATGTTTAATTAATTTTCAAAAAATCCTCGCCTTACATGGGCATCCACCAGTCTAGGGTTACATATTAGATTGATCCGGCACTGCGTCTATATATATTATTTGATTCATGAAGATTTGATTCAATGAAGAATATATTGAACATGAATAAAATCATTCATTCATTCCATCTTATTGAGTCTGTTCTCTTGGAACCTTGTTGGTTGAGAGTCGCATGAAAGTTGCGCAAGTACATAAATCTTCAAGAAGAAAATAATTATTATGTTAAAAATGTTAAAATCATTATGTATTTTCTTAAAAGTGTTAATGTTGACGAAAGTGGCAATCGTATCTTCGTTGGAAGATCTGGAGGATCATGAAATTTTGGTTAGTCCAGAAAAAAATATTTTTATGTTTTTTACTTAACAATAAACTTACGTAAATAAGAGATCTTTTTCATTAAGAATTTTGAATGTTATATATATTTGTAAATAATAAATTACTTACATAATTAAAACTGTAACATGTAAGTATAGAATATGTTGATACTGATAAAAAATATATGTATAAATAAATTTGTTAACTTTGTTACACATTTAAAAATCAATATACATATTGTAAATATATATTCGATAATATATAAAATATAAAAATTGAAGTATATTTGACAACAAAAGAATGCTAACTTAATAAATAAATTTGCGCACATTTATGTAAATTTATTTGTTAAAAAATCATTCTTCTGTTGCCTAGTACACTTTATACTAAAAGAATATACTTATGATACTTTACTCTTAACAATCTTTTTGCCAGCTTTATATGTATAATCCTCTAGCTAAAACTTACATGCGAGATAAAGGATATGTGTGTCGCATATAGCGATAAATTAAGGAATTAAATAAGGACGTCTTCAAGACGTCTTAAAACGTCTTCAAAATAACGTCTTTATTTAGTCTAAAAAGTGATATCTTACAAACGTCCATTATTTGTCGGTGTCATAGACACAAAATGACCAAAAATAGACGTCATAATGACGTCTTCTGACGTCACTTTTACTACTTGAGTATTGTATAAAACATAATAAATTTGTTCCACTTAATATCAATATAGAAAATCAGATCTTTTGAGTTAAACTAACAACAACTTGTATGCGTAATAAAACCAACTATTAAATATCAACGTAGTCGAACAGTAGAATAGGGATCAAATTGATCAATAATCTATTTTAATTAACGGTCAACAATATATGTACATATATACAATCCCAGACAGCACATAATATTTATAAAATATTTATAGAATATTTATAATAATAATTATTTTAATATTTTATAAATATTTATCATAAATATTTTATAAATGTTTTTTATAAAAGAGTCTTAGATTCAATAGATCATAAATATCAGAAAATATTTACGATAAATATTATGGTAAATATTATAAATATATTTATTAAATTATTATAATACAGATTTTTAAAATTTCTATTTTCTTTAATAAATACTCAGTAAGAAATCATGAGTTAAAAAGACATAATCAACGATTTTTAATCAAAACGATCGGTTGATATAGTCTAATCTAAAATTTAGTTGATTAGATGTTTTTGTGTTTTTCAAAATTTATTAGCCATTTATAAAAAGTTAAAAATATGTAAAAAATGTTTATAAGTAATTTATTAGACATTTATTTTAAAATAGAATGTAAAATTATAATATACATACTGAATATACTTAGGCAACAGAGTAGTACAAATAAATTTACGTACACATCGATATATACGTAAAATTATTTGTTAAAAGACATTTTGTTGCAGAATATAGCTCAAAAATAGAAATAATTTTATGAAATTTTTAATTTTATTGATTTCTATTTTTGTCAACCTTATATAATTCTCACGACGAAAATCAAATACGAGAAAGATACCTATGTCACATAACGATAAATGAAAGAACTATCAATTTAGTTAAAAATATTTACAAAATAATTACTATAAATATTTATCTTTACATGCCAAAAATATTATATGAAATATTTAATCTATGTTTTAATAATATATTAAATAAAGATTTTTATAAAACATTTTCAAAATATTTATATAATATTTGAAAAATATATATATACATAAATAATTATAAATCTTCATCATAAATATTGTGTGCTGTCTGGAATATATTTCAAGCTATTAAGATCAATTCAATGCCAATTCAAATTCTATTGTACTCTTTGTCCTTAGTAAAAATTTAAAGCTTCTCGAAGCGTACAGGAAGTGCAGAATTAACGCTTCATTGAAACTTATTTATTGACTTTCCATTGACTCATCGCGGTTTTGATCCTCCATATACGCTTGTCGAATGTTTCATACAGCGCATGGTATAAGACATTTTATTACGTTTCTCGCACGCTCCAAAATTTCATGTTTTCCTTTACGTTTCTCAAACATTTCACAAAATGTGTACGAAGCGCTCCGATACGCTTTTTACGCTTCAATCATTTATATTTAGAAAATCTTCCTTTACGTTTCTTAAACGCTCTCCAAAAAGTGTACGGAACATTTCGATACACATTCCTCACACTTCAGTGACACTTATTGTTAGAAACTCTTCATCTACATTTCCCAAACGTTCTGCAAGGAGATATACGGAGCATCCCGATATACCCTCTCTTCATACTTTGACTGTCCACACTTAAAAACTCTTCATTAAGCCATTTGAAAGAATGATTTTTATTTAAATAACATTTATAAGCTATATAATATATATTTTTTACAGAATATTTCAGATATCAACAATCATTACATGTTACCAAAGAATGAATTTGTCGAACACTCTAAACTGGCGATTAAACGCATAAGTACAACCGGTAAGAATTTATTAGCATGTCTACAATTCCAGAATTTATTGATAAGTTGCAAAAATAAAATATAGATATCAAAATAAACGAATTATATGCAAACACACAAAATTTAACTTTTTAAATGATAAAATTAAAATCAGGCCAACTATAACAAGCAATAATCTTATGGTTTATTTAAAACATAATTTATTCAACATATTGTATTTTGACAATTTTTTGTAAACGTTTCGACTTACTTACAATTAGTCTTCTTCAGTATATTCTTAATTTAATATAAATACAATCAAGAAGACACTAAATAAGTTTACAAAGAATTGTCAAAAGATGTCGAATAAATTATGTTTCAATTAAACCATAAGATTATTGCTTGTTAATTGGCCTGATTTTAATTATAACTTTTGCTTTGCATTATACGAGCTTAATGAATTATTAATTAACTTTTCAAGTTCAAGAGAATAAAAATAAAATTTAAGAAATCTTTTAACAAGAAAAATATAAATAAAAACTTTATTGTATAAAAATTAATAATTTATCTTTAATTTAAATTATCCTTATTATTTAGAAACGCCTATCATCAAACTTCCCTTACGAAAAAAAACTACAAGAATACGAAAAAATTACTGGTATGTCAATAATATATTATTAAAGAATTATATTATTATATCAGTAATTTTTTTATATTCTTGTAGTATTTTTTTCGTGCGAGTTGCTGCATACAGTTGAGATATACTATTTTTATTAACAAATTAAAAAATTAATCTATTTTATCTTCTATCTAATATTGAAATCAGACTTCTATATAATTATTCTTATATATGTATAATTGAGTCAACTAGAAACATTAAATATTTTTGCACTCGTAATTTATTAAATACAAAAAATACGCATATAGGTACATTATTTTTCTACGTAGTTTCTGTAGTATGCAATACAAGTGTTCTAGCGTTTCGGAGATGCATGGATATCTTTGAAAAAAATCTTTTATCGACGAAAAGAGGTACAGCAGGCGTGCATATGAGTGCCTATGCTTTCGGGTAAAAGATTTTTTTTTTGGAAGTATTCATACACTTTCGAAACATTGGAACACTTGTTGTGCACACCGTGAAAATCTCGTAGAGAAATGATATAGATATGTACCTTTTGCATTCAATAAGTTATGAGGTAAAATTTAAAGTTTTCAGTTGATTCATTCAATATATTTAAAATTGAATATATACCTAATGTATATATTCAATTTTAAAATCTCAAGAAAATTTTATTTATATATATTTCGATCCATGTACATATTTATGTAAGATTTTGAAAACTCTAGAAAATGTTCCAAGTGAACCAACATTTCCCAGGATATTCGTAGAGTTTGACAAAAATATAAACGAAAGAAACAACATTTCTGTAACATTCAGGTAAAAAAATCTAAATTCTTAATTTATATTCTTTTCAGTTTAATACATATACAAATGTACATCTACCCAGATAGCAAAATATATGCATTATGTACTCATATTGTACTCATATTTCTTAAAACATGATGATAATAATAGACATAGATGCAGGCACATATGCTACTCAAAATATAGATATATTATAATATCTTAAAAATATTTGCAAAAAATGTCATTATGAATACATAAATACGCTCAAATTAATATCTAAGCTCACATTTTTCATCATATGTATGTAACTTGTACTCATGATACCTATCATCATAATATGATTACAAGACACAACACATTTCAATCATATCAGAAAATCATGACATGATGAAATCTGATCATCGCAAGCATTTCTATCTGGGTATGTATATACATATGTATACACATATGTATATATTTTAACTCTGTTACCAAAAAAAAAATTAAAATATCTTATACTTTTCTTTACAGATGGAAGCAACCTGCATTCACAGGGAAAGAAATAAAAAAATATACAGTTGAGTATGGGTTTATCGAGAACGCGACGAATGAAATGAACACTACAATCGTCATTATTCCAGCTACGAAATTGCAACTGGAAGTGCATGATTTAAGACCTAACACAATGTACTACTTCAAAGTACGAGCGCATAACGAAATTGGTGTTAGCAATTACACAGAGATCATCAACGTGTCGACCACGCACGAGAATCCGGTTCCTCGATTATTGATCGGCTCGTGGAGTGGTATAAAAATATTCGATATAGATTTGCAGAAGGTCTCTCATATATTTAAGGAACTCAGAGCGATAGAATTCACTTACTCGACATTAGAACGTAAAATTTATTGGATCAATGACAAATCACAGCTAATGACAACGGATTTAACAATCGAAACAAAGCAAAAGTACACAAAAATTATTGACCTAGATGATTCTGCACATAATCTCTGCATCGATTGGATAGCTAGAAATCTTTATTGGATACAAATTAACCACTCTAACAACCAGTCCAGCATTATGAAGTTAGATTTAACATTGTTGCAAATTGACATGATCAAATACGATATTATTTTAAACACAAATGGATCTAAATTGTTATCTGTACTGCCGTCTAAAGGGTATATTTTTACTTAAATTTTATCTAATCTAAAAATTAACAATAATATAATTATATATTTAATTACAATAATGTTTTATAAATAGAGAATAATATGCATTTCTTCAGGTATATTTATTGGATGGGCTTAAATTCAGATAATAAGTATGTGTTAATGCATTCGAATGTCAATGAGAAAAACATAAAACCTTTTTTGCAAAGCAGAAAATTATATGATACAAATTGTCCCTGCCAGTACGAACTATTAGAACCATCTTCTATGCAGATTGACAACATAAATATTGACAATCCATTAATTTACTGGATATCAAAAGGTAGCCTAATCGCAACGGACATTCATGGTTGTAAATGTAATCTGATTTTAAGCGCTGGAAATAATGAAAAATTGATTGATTCTTTAACGATTGACGAGACAAATATTTACTTGTACAGTCAGTACAAACAAGAAATCTATATTTTACAAAAAAAGGATGCAAAACTCGATAGCAAAACAATTGGATTTGAGAATGTTCAAAATATTATGTTCTACACAAATGACTTACATCATATTAAAGCTGTTGGTAACTCTTTACAACGCTATCCCTCGAAAATATGTCAGATGCCTAAGATGTCAGATGAAAGATATCATGTTGAAGTAATGAATATAACTGCGAACAGTATTGTCGTAAGGCTTCCAGAGCCGGTTCTCAATGACAAATGCGAAAATTACAATTTAGCCACCACTATATACACCATCTCCGTGGGCCATCGATGGAATAAAGATCGTAGCGAATTAAAAAAGTTTCAGACGCACGAAAGGTATTACGAAATACAGAATTTATCCCCATCCACAGAGTACATAGTGAAGCTGGCACTGAGTAATTTCTATTTTGATTTTTACAAATTACCGATACATTTTGACCGAGGTGTGATACTGACAACTACCTCAGAAGAACTTAATGCAGAAAATGTAGTAATTCTAATGCAATATATACCAGGCGTTATCGGTACCCTTGTGTGCGGTGTTTGTATTTATTATTGTAAGTATACATTTGATATAAATTTTAAATTTTAAGTGTAAAAAATTTTATTTTATTGTAATATATGTATATTTATAATACATGTAAAACGCTTGTGCCTGAAAAATTAGTATACTTGTTCAATAATGATTTAAATTCCCCAATGTATAATATTATATAAGTATATTACGTTATATAATATTATATAATGTAATACACTTGTTAATATATTCTAGCACAATGCAAAAGAAGTAGGAATGTTCAACCTTCATCAACTTCACCGCCTCCACCAGTTGAATTAATTCCAATAGATACATCTAACAATAACATTGAATACATTACTGTAACAGCTTTAAAAAAGGAGTTGCAAGGAAATCCAAACATTCAAAAAATTAAAATTGAAGAGATTCTCTCAAGAGATGAGTTTCTAGGCGAAGGCACATTTCGAATAGTAAAATTTAATTTTTTATTATTTTACTATATTCATCAAGACTTACATTACTTTTTTTAATGAGAAAATTTAAAGTAATAACATATTTTTTAATTAATATAATTTTCGAAATCATAATATATTTCATTAATAAATAATCTAATCAATTTTAACGTGCATTTATCAATTTATGTCAATCATGGAATATTTTACAGGTAAATCAAGGAATGGTCCGCAATTTAGAAGGGTTGCAAACAATGTGTGCCATAAAAAAGTTACCAGGTAATGCTACCCTGCTGCAAGAAAGGAAATTCTTGCAAGAAGCCAAAAAGATGAGCCGATTTGATCACAAAAATGTGCTAAAATTATTTGGCATTTGCTGGTATGCGGATTCACCGATGCTCATATTGGAATTAATGGAAACTGACTTATTGACATATTTGAGAGAGAATCAAACATTGAACCCTTTAAGTGCACAAAGTCTGCGCCTGCAAGACTTACTCGCCATGTGCGAAGATGTTGCGCGGGGTTGTCACTATCTAGAAGAAATGCGATATGTACATAGAGATCTTGCATGTCGAAATTGCTTAATATCCACGAGAAATGATGGAAGCCGTATTGTGAAAATCAGCAACTTCTATCTTTGTAATGATATTTATATGGATAACCATTACATCGACGTGAGTACAATTATTAAAAAAGAAATAAATGTTTTTTTTGTTCTATTTTTGCATTGTAAAAATATATATTTTGCAGCAGTTAAAAATATAATAAAAAACTTTATATATACATATATATACATAGAGAGAGAGAGAGAGAGAGCAAAAGAAATGAATTAACTTTCTCTGCACATAATGCTTACTTTAAAATATATAAGATCGGTAAAAGATTTAAGGGAATGCTGGAGTGACGACCGAACTCCGACAGATGGTTTGAGAAGTTTTTTGTTTTTTTCCTCTTCTATCGACAAAATATAAGATTAGATAAACTATAAATCTATTTATTGGCTATACAGATTGTTTTTACCCGAAATTAGAACGCTCCACACTTTATTAGTATTAATACTTTAATTTGTACAAGAAAAAGATTTATCAATCTGTATAGATCTTTTATATTTCTTGATTACAGAATTATGAATTCTCTTATTTCGGAGCGTTCTAATTTCGGGTAAAAATCTATCCGTATAGCCAATAAATAGATTTATAGTTTATCTAATCTCATATTTTGCCGATAAAAAAGGAAAAAAACAAAAAATTTCTCAAATCATCCATCGAAGTCCCCCCTTTAAGGGGATGCTGGAGTGACTTGAGAAGTCAGTTGTTTTTTTCCTTTCTTATCGACAAAATATGAGGTTAAATAAACTATAAATCTATTTATTGGCTATACGGATTGTTTTTTACCTAAAATTAGAACGCTTCGCTCTTTGTTAATATTAATATTTTAATTTGTACAGGAAAAAGATTTATCAATCTGTATAATCCCATATTTCTTGATTACAGAATAAGAATTCATAATTCTGTAATCAAGAAATATGACACTATACAGATTGATCAATCTTTCTCCTGTACAAATTAAAGTATTAATATTAACAAAGGGCGAAGCGTTCTAATTTTAGGTAAAAAACAATCCGTATAGCCAATAAATAGATTTATAGTTTATTTAACCTCATATTTTGTCGATAAGAAAGGAAAAAAACAACTGACTTCTCAAGTCACTCCAGCATCCCTTATTATATTTTAGGAAAAAGAAGACCCTCTTCCTATTCGCTGGATGGCACCGGAATCTATAAAGTATCGAAAATTTACTTCAAAAAGCGATGTTTGGGCATTTGGAGTGCTAATGTGGGAAATTATGTCATTAGGCGAACTCCCCTATTCTGTCATAAAAAATGGAATAAATGTAATAGAATATATATGTAAAGGAGACAGGTTGTCGCAACCTCTCAACTGTCCGCCGACGTTGTATCAGTTAATGCAGCAATGCTGGAGTGAGGAGAATAATAGACCAAATTTCAATCACTGTCTCGAAAATATTTTAACCTTAAGAAACATCACAAAAAATGCGATTTTAAAGCGGACATTGAAATATAAACAGGTAAATTGATATTAATTTTTTTTATGTGCATATCATTACGTGCAATAAATTTTTACATATCAATATAATATTTGAACTAAAAATATTGCCTTTAAGCCTGTTCTACAATTGCGTAAACGTAGATGTAAATGATTATACGGTGTTGTAAAAAGCAGTTGTAAACTATTACTACCGTTTGCAAACGGTATATAGTAATAATTTACAACTGCTTTTTATGACATCGTACAATCACTCACATCTATACGCAATTGTAGAACAGGTTTTACTTTTGCTCATATTTTTTATTTTAATTCATTATTTAAAATTATCTGGCGTGCTAATAATTACACTGATTACATTGTCAAATTATAATATAATTTAAGATAATTATTATATTAAGAATATTATTCGGCTTTCGAAACATATAGGTACTATATACCGGGTGTTCGGTGACTCGCGTTTTACACGTTAATGGGAGATTCCTGAGGCGATTTGGAGACGCTCTTTTCTCAGCGAAAATGATGAGAAAGGTCATCATTTTTTTAATGTTCTCAATTTTTGAAATCACATGTATCTATGTAACTAAGACTTATATAAATTAAAATTTTATTACAGTAAACTTTACCTGAAATTAACTAAAAAATGTAGTTTTGTTAATAATTTATTTTTACAAGGCTTAGTTTACAAAAAAGCTTTTATTTTCAATCATTTATAACTCAAAAATTATTGGTGCCTGGATATTTTCACTGAGGAAAAATCGTCTCCAAATTGCCTCAGAAATCTCTCATTAACGTGTTAAACGCGAGTCACCGGACACTCTGTACATATACATATATATATATATATATATATAATATGTTTATTTCGAGAGCCGAATAATATTCTTAATATAATAATTATCTTAAACTATATATTATAATTTGACAATGTAATTAGTGTAATTATACGCATATATATATATATATATATATATATATATATGTATATGTATATATATATTATTATTATATAATATATTATAATATAATAAATTAATGTACAATGTAGAAATTATAATATATTTCTTTAACACATAAACTTAAGAAAGATTAGAGCAAGTGGCAAATCATAAACAATTTATATTTATTAGATGTAATTTACGAAAAGAAAACTGTTCACAAATTAAATGTCATAGATGCAAACTGAGATAATAATAATAATAACTCATTTTTTGTTTAAGTACCGTACAACGCCTCATATAGTTACCGGCATCTCTTGCTCTATGCTGGATCGCAAAATAAGATCATTTCCGATCTTAAAGGATAAGTCAGAGTATTTTCATAACGAAGAAGTCAGAGGAAAGGAAATGAGTAGACAATATGCGGACAGGAAACGACAAGCGAAGATTAGAACAGTGCAAGTCAATAATTAATAAGTTGACCACATCTTTTGCGGCTACTCCTACTCGAAAGGACGGCAGTGCAGTCTCGGACCTGTCACCGAGCGAGGAGATCTATTGCATTTTTACTCGTGTAATATAATATTGTGCATCTATGAAAGATTCTTATGTATACTTTATATTTTTGCGAATAAAAATTTTCCTTTTAATTTCAAATGCATGAAGCAGTTATTTATTTTTCATTCTAATTTTTGTAAAATAAATTGTTCAAAAATTTTTATACAGATAATTCTTTGGTTGATCTTAATACAGTTTGTTTTTAATGTTTTAGCTATTACATTTTCCTGTCCTATTTCCTATCCTATTTTTCTGTCCTATTTTCTTTAGACAAAAATTCCACAATAATATTACACGTAGTGTAACATTAGAGATCAGGATTAAAAATTTAATTAGATATAAAGTATAATAAACAAAAAAATATATTTTTTAGTCGTGCAAAAATTCGATAAAAATATGTAACATAAATTTAATATTTCGAAAATCTGCATAATTTTGCTGCATAACGTTCTTTAATAGTTTTGATATGTAATATCCAGATTATTATATTATTAGAAATAGTTTTTTTATATTCAGCAATTTAATAATTTTATCATAAATATCCTTATAATTATGATAAATCTTAAAAAGTGACCTTCAAAGATAAGAACTCTTAATTTATATGTGTATATATATATATTATATATTATATATACAGGGTGACCGGTAACTCGCGCCCCACCCGTCAGGTGCAGGTAAAGCAGATCAAACTGAGTAAAAAAGTCCTTTACCATTTTACGATTTTTAATAATAAAGGAGAAATTAATTAATAAAGTTCGGCCAATCTCTCTCTCCACGCGAGTGATAGTGCGCGGCGATAAGAGACAGCCCACTGGAAGCTCTAGCTTTACGCGTTATTATCTTTTGTCGATTATTATCTTTTACATTTGTGTAGGGCACGCGAATAGGCTGATTTTTATAAATTAATTTCTCATTAATTATAATTAATAATTGAGGATTTTGCAAATTGGTAGAAGACTTTTTATTCAGTTTGACCTACTCTATCTGCACCTGACAGGTGGGGCGCGAGTTACCGGACACCCTGTATAAAACACATATGCAGGTATTTATGCATATCGATGTATACGAACTCAATGTGTTAGTATAGATAAGTATATAATCTGAATCAGTGGAATGATCAGTCATATCATGAACGCGACCCAGCTAACCATTTCTGCGGAGGCAAATGTAGGTAACAACTTTTTGTTTGTTAAATGGCCGTAGATGAGAAACATATTTTGTCATTGCAAACTGTGAGTATAAATTCAGTAAATATTTTCCAATATCAGTTCGCAGACTATATTGACAAAGTGGCAATGAGTAACAAACAGATCTGTCGAAACGTTAAATTGACAACAAGAAGCACACAGATGTGACAAAAGACCGACTTTCCGTAAGTAACAAAAATAGAATGACACTCCGACGTGTCAGACGTTAATACGGAACGCACCCAAATAGTTTAAAAGATTATATACGTTTTTTTTCAAAATATGATTTGACTAACAAAAATATACATTTATACATTATAATAGATTATTTCTACTTTTTTCAATTATTATGTATCATTAAGTGTTTTTTTATTTGCTATTTCTTTTTTTACTTAATTATTTTTCTTTAATTTGCATTTGGCGCAATCTGTTTTCAGTTTGCGATTGACAAATTTGTTCTCAGTTTGTTGCGTCAATCTGTCGCACTGTTAGTGACAGATCTACTCTGGCGTTACACCCAACTTGATGTTAGGATATGCTTTCAACTTTTGATTGCAATTAGGGCGCACTTGAGGACATAGTAGGTCCTGCGGATTTGCAGCCATATTTTTCAGAAAATTGCTTCCCGATTGTTAACAATTCTCCAGCAAATGATTAGATGAGTACGTAATATTTGGACCTATTTATATATTTTTTGTGTAATTTCTAAAACATCTAGATTTTTTAAAATATTTATATTTATTAAGTTTTGCATAAAACCTAAAGTAATTAATTTTTTTAACAAAATCAATGTTTCAAAATTTATGAGTTAAAATAAATTATAAAAGCATAACATAATCGTTTAATACTCGAACTCGATGACAACAAAGAGTAGAATAGAATTCGATTTAGCATCAATTGATTTTTAATAGCTTGTAATAAATAGCTTATTGAAATATATGTGCAAATATACATATATGAATATCATCTCAATGTATACATGTTAAAATACATATGTCATATGTTTATCGGAGTAAAAATCTAAATTTTATGACATCGAGACAAAAGCATCAAGACGAAGGAGAAATAGAGAATCAGAATTCTTTAGTACAGGGATAAAGGAGTTTCTCCTTAATAAAAACTCGATTTGTATAAAATTTAATTTTTTGTGCTTAATTTCTTCGTACCAAACCATGGACAATGAATTAGTTTAAACGAAAAATTAATTATTCCTTGAAACTAGTGTACTGACATTCAAATTGTCTGACTCTTACTTGCTCATTGAAATTTAAATGTTTTTCATATGTGAGTCTGAGATCTTAATTGTAAATAAATAAAACAAAATTTTTTAAATACATGAATTTAGAAAATTTCTACTTCTATTACGAAAAAAAGGGAATAATGAAATCATATCTAAAGTTGAATCATTTATAAAATAAAATTTCTGTCTAATACATGTATTTTCCATTAAGCCATTTGAAAGAATAATACATTTATAAGCTATATAATATATATTTTTCTACAGAATATTTTAGACATCAACAATGACTGCATGTTACCAAAGAATGAATTTGTCGAATATTCTAAACGCGTAATTAAACGCATGAGAAGTACAACCAATAAGAATTTATTAGCATGTCTACAATTCCAGAATTTATTGATAAGTTGCAAAAATAAATAATACATATCAAAATAAACAAATTACATGCAAACACACAAAATTTTAAGTTTAAGAAAATAAAAATAAAATTTAGAAATAAAATTCAAGAACAAGAAGAATATAAATGAAATATAATATTATATAACGTAATGCACTTAATATATTCTAGCACAGTGCAAAGAAGTGAGAATGTTCAATCTTCACCAATTCCACCAATTAAATTAATTCCAATAGATACACCTAACAATAACATCGACTGCATTACTGTAACGGCTTTAAAAGAGGGCTTGCAAGAAAATCCAAACATTTGAAAAAATAAAGATTGAAAAGATTCTCTCAACACATTTTCTAGGCAAAGGCGCATTTGGAATAGTAAAAACTTATTTGTTATTACTTTACTATATTCTTAAAGACTTTCATTCAATCTTTGTGTGTTGTGTTTGTATTTATTTATAAGTATAAATTTGATATAAATTTAAAATTTTAAGGGAATGCCGATGGCCGAACTCCGATAGGTTAGCACCACACACAACCGCACATATGCACGTATACACATATACACATGCATATACACACACACACATATGCGTGAAAATTTATTAATATATAACTTTTTTCTAAAGGAGGATGTTGAAAAAAGTCGATTTCTCAACTATCGATGGAACCTAAAATTCGAGTTCCATGGGTATCTATGAACCATATAAGATGTAAAAATGATGGTCTTTTTTCTAGAGACCTGGGAAAGTATTGAAAATCTATCAAAACTATTGAAAATAGCGTCATTCGATCGATCTGAAGACAACTATAAAATCGATGACATGGATGAATTTTCAATCAAACCAAGTTCTGGTTAAGCACTTATCAAATAGTTTTCTAATCAATAATGTTTTAAGATTGAAATCGCAAAATTCAAGATTGCGGATTCAATATGGTAGATCAGTATTGAGAGAAACTAGATTCGAGGATATAGTTATTTCCGAATAAAGAGATCTGATTCTACATTTAAATTATGTTTTTTAGTTTTTTTATTTAAATATTTTTGTTTCATTATTGAATAAAATTCTTTAGTTTTAACATAGAAAATATGAGAACTATTAATATTCTCTATGTTAGAACTAAAGAATTTTATTCAACAATGAAACGTAAGTAATTGTGAGCAATCAATTGAGAAACAAAAATATTTAACAAACAAATAAACAAACTAAAAAACATAATGTATTTGAATGTTGAATCAGATCTTTTATTCGGAAGTAACTACATCCTGGCATCTAGTTTCTCTCAATACTGATCCACCATATTGGATCCGCAATTTTGAATTTTGCAATCCCGATATTAAAACATTATTGATCTCAAAAACTATTTGATAAGTGTTTAACCAGAACTTGGTTTGATTGAAAATTCATCCATGTCATCAATTTTAGTTGTCTTCAGATCGATCGAATGACGCTATTTTCAATAGTTTTGATAGATTTTCAATACTTTCCCCAGGTCTCTAGGAAAAAAGACCATCATTTTTACATCTTATATGGTTCATAGATACCCATGGAACTCGAATTTTACGTTCCATCGATAGTCGGGAAATCGACCTTTTTTAACAACCTTCTTTGTAATCTCACTTCTAATTGTGTGTTTGCTAATATTCTTTCATGTTATCCCTATTGCGCGCGAGCTATACCTTACTCAGTGAGAAATGATGGTCGAATCGATGTCGAATCGATGACGATTCGACCAATCATTTCTCACTGGGTATGTACAGACAAACTGCAGAACTTTTTTTATTAAATAAGTATTGTTACGAGCTGACACGCAAGAAGCCGATAACAAAACTGTAATTTTTGATTTATATATATATGGAATTATAGCTAGCGCGGTCCGTTTTTATAAGTACTTTAATTGTGGAAAAGGATTTATTGATTTGTATAATCAATAAAAAGATATCCTAAAATCAATATTTCGCATTCGGTCGGTAAGACAGACCGTTTCTAGCATCCCTTGTAAAAATTTTAGTTTAGTTGAATATATGTATATTTAATATATGTAAAACGTTTCTGCCTGAAGAATTAATATACTTGTTCAAAATGATTTAAATTCCCAATAATATAACGTAATATACTTAATATTATTCTTGCACAAGGCAAAGGATGTAAAAATGATCAACCTGCACCAATCGAATTAATTCCAAGGGATACCTAATAATAACCTAGACAACAAAACGTCTAAAATCGGGACATAAGACGTCTTAAAGCAGTCATTAAGATATATGTCTTTAAGACGTCAATAAGATATCTAAGATATCTTATGTCCCGTTTTTAGACGCAATATTGTTTGGGAATTGAGAGATTAAATACACTACTTTAATGGCTTTAAAAAAGGAGTTGCAAGAAAATCCAAACATTCGAAAAATAAAGATAGAAGAGATTCACCGAGATTCAACAGATTTTCTAGGCAAAGGCGCATTTGGAATAGTAAAAACTTATTTCTTATTACTTTATTATATTTTAAAGACTCATTACTTTTTGATCAGATAATTTTAAAGTATAACAACACCTTTTTTAATTAATATAATTTTCAAAATCAAAATGCTTCATTAAATAATATAAACAATTGTAACACGTGCATCTTATCGATTTATGTCAATCATGGAATATTTTGCAGGTATTTCAAGGAATTGTCTCCAATTTAGAAGGGTTGAAAACAATGTGTGCCATAAAAAGTTTACCTGATAATGCTACCTTGCTGGAAAAAAAGAAATTTTTGCAAGAAGCCAAAAGGATGAGCCGATTTGATCACAAAAATGTTCTAAAATTATTGGGCATTTGCTTGAATACGGATTCACCGATGCTCATATTGGAATTAATGGAAACTGACTTATTGACATATTTGAGAAAGAATCAAACATTCAACCCGTTAAGTGCACAAAGTCTGCGCCTGCAAGACTTACTCGCCATGTGCGAAGATGTTGCGCGGGGTTGTCACTATCTAGAAGAAATGCGATATGTACATAGAGATCTTGCGTGTCGAAATTGCTTAATATCCACGAGAAATGATGGAAGCCATATTGTGAAAATCAGTGACTTTGGATTAACTAGGAATATGTACAATGATCAATATTATCGCATGGTAAGTACAATTTTTCAAAATAAATAAATCCTCTTTCTGTATTTTAATATAATATTAACATTTTAAAGCTAATAATGTGAAAAGATAATAATTTTATTGTGTGTATATATATATTATATATATATATATTGTAATACACACACACACAGTATATACAGAGAATTACAATGTATATTGTGTTGATTTTTATTTTCTCTGCACGTAAACGCTTTTTAAAAATATAAAAATAATTAAAACCTACATAAAATTGTATTTAGAAAATCAAAGATATTCGCAGGATGGCACCGGAATCTATACTTTACAATTATTACTTCCCATAAGCCAGATTATTGCAATTATATTGCAGCACGTTGCAATTGTTGCAAGTTGCCAAACATTATAAAGACATCATAGGTTGTACAAAATTCCAGCACATTTGCTAGAAACATGACATTAATATTGGAAATTGCATGATTATATTGAGTAATAAACATATACCCAGCAAACACCAAGTTACAGCTATAAATTGTTAGTTGTAAGTTTCCACTCAAAAATATACGTGTATTATAACGAAAATTACAACTAAAATTATATAACATAACTGGATTTGCTGGGAATATGTAATAAAAATAATTTTTTGCAATATTGTAAAATAAAATTGTTAACGATAATCAATAATTTTATTAAATCCTTAAATTTCTAAAGCTAATAATGTGTGGTGATTGCTATATATAGATATATTTACATTTGTATGTATGCACACATTAGTATATACAGAGCAATATACAATGTATATTGCAATCATAACATTGATATGTTGTAATTTTTGTTGCAATCTTCCAAAAAGCGGACGAACATTGCGCAATTAAACCTAAATTAAAATTGTATTTAGCAACAAAAGACCGTCTTCCTATTGCAATGGCATGGAATCTGTATGTACCAATTATTTACTTCACAAAGCGACGTTTGGGGATTCGGGGTGCTAATGTGGGAAATTATGTCATTGGGTGAACACCCTTATTATGACAAAAATAATACAGAGGTAACTGAATATATACGTGAAGGAGGCAGGCTGTCACAACCTCTCAACTGTCCGCCGACGTTGTATCAGTTAATGCAACAATGCTGGAGTGAGGAGAAAAATAGACCAAATTTCAATTACTGTCTCGAAAATATCATAACGACAAATATAAGAGACGATGCGATTTTAAAGCCAACAATTAAATATCCACCGGTAAATCGATAGTAATTTTTTATGCATATATATTATTACATAAAGGACAAATAGTTTTAGTAAATCTATATATATATATATAATATCTACTAAAATTAATACAAAAATATTGCTCTTATTTTCGATCATTATTTCATGTAAAATATTTAATATGTTATTTTTATTTTACATAAAATTATTTTACTCTTCATAATTAGTTTGTTTTACTCTCTTTTACATTGTGATTACATTATAGGATTACAGCATAAAATTAATAATATATAATATAGAAATATTGTAGTACATATATACAGTAGAAATATTGGTAATAGAATACATTTCTTTAAACACACAGTTATATGAGAAAGATTACAGCAAGGGGCAAGTTATAAATAATAATTTATATTTATTTTAAGTAATTTTATCAAAAGAAAATATTTGTTTAAATATTTTATCAAACAAAAAAAATATTTCTTGTATTTACAAGAAAATAGCCGCATATAATATATTACTATAAATTTTATTATTAGATATAAAATAAAAATAAAAATGTATAAATATAATTATTGTATATATATGCAATAAATCACCGAAACTGAAGATGTTAATAGTTGATTTTGTGCAATAATTACAAATAAAGACTTTAAAAATAAAAGGGGAGGAAATGTTGCATTCATATTTATTTAATATGATAATATATATCCCAAAGAGAACAGAAAAGTCAAAATGATGTCAATTTGACGTCATTTTTTGGTTATAGTAATAATTTTTATGCAAAATATTGTGAGGAATCAATTTGTGTAAAAAAAAAATATGATGGTTCCATTTAAAAAATTCAAAGTGACATTAATTTGTTTATAAAAAAAATTTTTTTTTAATTTTTTTTATTGCATGTTATAGCTTGCGTAAAGCAGATTAAGTTTTACTGTATAAACTTTCTTTTAAACTGCCAGAAATGTCCCAAAAATCGTGGCGACCATTACGTGAATCACTTTGTATAATGCTTATTATTATGAAGATAATTAAAGGTTAACGTTTTTCATATTCAGATGATATCATTGCAGCAAAAGAGTTGTTATTGAATTAAAAACTAAATTGTTGATTAAAATATTATTTTAAGCGGCTTTTACGTCTTAAATTTGCATCTCAATTATTTTTAATACAAAAGAATAATCTTTTATCATTGCGAACATCAAGATAACAACAAAATTTTATGCAATTTGACATTTCTGTTCTCCTTGGGATATAAATATCATATATATCTCATATATATCATTTTGACATTTCTGTTCTCCTTGGGATATAAATATCATATATATCTATATATATATTGCATTATTTTAATAAGTATTCAGTTTTTTATACATATAATAATAAAATATGTACATGTAAACTGATAGCAAAAGAATATACGAATTATATAAATTCACCACCCTTTCCCATATATAAATGTAACTGTATAATTTTATACACAATATTTATAATTGTAAATACATTATATATAATTGTAAATATAAGGTACAAATTATCACAACAAATTTATTACAGTTTTGATTGATCAAGAATAAAATTTGTCACTAAATCATTGAACTCTTCAAAATATTTTAAGTGACAATTATGTGCTCCTTTTTCGAAAATATGTACGCTGTAATACAAAATAAATTATATATAAATTATGGTACAAAAAATTCGTAGATCACTTTTAATTGTTTCGAATCCATAAAAGTACAAACCTTGAATTGGCGATATTTTGCTTGAGATATGTCGGATGTTCCGGTAAAACCAATGCGTCTTTACCTCCATGAATAATCAACGTTGGACATTTTATTTTTGATAAAGCTTGTTTGCATAGGTCGCCGTTTTGCTTTTCGTATAATTTTAGCATAGCATCTATCCAATTCGACCAAGTCTTTCTAAAGTAATCCTCGCCGTAAACTTGTATCATAGATATCCTCATTCTTTCCGACCACTTGTTAATGTCTCTGATATCTAGACAGTAATTATTAATATTTTTAAAAGTTTTTTATCCGAACGAAACAGAAAAATATTTAATGCTATCTCATCGATAAAGAAATAGCAAAATATCTTATACTGTATACATTTTAACTATATAATAAAACAATGTTTCTAGAAATTTTAACAGTTTTTGTGACTCGAATCTTGACAAAAGCAATTTTCTCAAATCTTATCTATTTTGACGTTTTATAAATTTTAACATCATTTTACTATTATATTATAAATATCATAAATATTATGTACTATATTATAGATATTATTATAAATTATATTATTACTAAAAAGTAAATGATAAGAAAAATCTTTCTTTAAAACACTCGTACTTTCATATATTTTCGTCTCGTCCGGATGTATATATGCATTTGCACCAAAAACGACCATCCTACGAATGTTCTCAGGATACATTGAGGCAAGTAGAAGCGATGTGATGCCGCCGTCGCTCCAGCCAATTAAAGAAAATTTCGAGTAGCCCAGGGTCTGCATCAGATTATAAGCCCATGCGGCGTCGCGTTGAAAGAAATCATCCGGAAAATTCCTGTCGGGTGGTCGCGATTTTCCATAACCGGGTGGGTCCCATGCTACTATGGTCAGCTTGTCCACATTTAGATTTTCGATCTGCGGCTTAAAATCAGTCCATATCGTACCTGAAATATATAATTTAGTACATAAAGAATTTCTATACATTTGCAATCATTCTATTTCTAAAATTTAATACGTTGGTATTAACTTTATCCTAAGTTTTATTATAAGATATATAGCAGGTAATCTTGTATCGCCAGTGATAAATAAAATTTAAAAAATAATAACTGTGAGACGACCCAACTGGCTTAAGCCAGTTGGGTCGTCTCACAGTTATTATTTTTTAAATTTTATTATAAGATTTTAATAATTATCAACATCGCATTTTTGCATAAAAAATTATTATAAATCGATATAGTAGTGTAAATAATTTAAAGAATATAGTTTATAAAATATAGTAATATAAAAAAAAATAGGGAAAAAGAAACAATTAAAATTTATATATTTTACAATATATATTTTTATTATTCTTGTTATTATTAATATATATAAGAAACTTGCGTTTATTGCATTAATATATATTTTTGGTGCGTTTAAAAACTTTTGTGACAACTTGTAATAATTTTTTCCTTTAAAAAATATATATATATGTTTAGAGAAAAAATTTTTATTAAATTGTTTTTCAAAATAGCGCAAGAAATGTGCTTTTATCGGATAATTGAATATTACAAATACAATAATATAAGAAGAAAAATAATAAAATAATAACGAGAAACAATGAAAAGAAAGATAAAATCAAGTATTTGTTTTTTAAGTATTTTGAATTTTTTTAATCGCTAAAACGCAGTTTTTGTCTTTTGTCGAACAGTTCAAACATTCAAACATTATACCACGTGACTGAATTCTAAATGTTCGACAGATGGCAGCAAGTCTCGAGAATGTGCTCCAGAACGATTTGTCTCTCTCTACACGAGTCTAAATTATTTATTATATATATGTATGTTTACCTAATGCACCAGGTAACAACAACACCGGATGGTCACCTCTTCCGACTCTGGCATAATTTATTTCCATGCCGTCCACTTTGATTTTTTGTTCCTTTTACATAAACAATACTCTTTTTTAGATGATTGTCGGTATATGAAATGTCATTAAAATGGCAGATCGAACCAACAAACAACACCATCTATCATTTTGATATATATTTACATATTTGTAATATTTCTTTTTACGTACCTCCACTTCACGAGTTTTGTTCGCCATTGCTGACAGTTGTCGAATCAACAGAGCTGTCCTCCTGGACTCTGTCGTTCTGCATAATTTAAACGCGGAACGCACACACGTGCTTGACCACATATTGTAGATAGAATGTTTACGAATGATCAGCTGTAAATAAACCGCAGTATGTCGCTGAAAGCAATGTATACATCCGATATTTATATCATTTGAACTTATCTATTATTGTAATGACAAGTGTAATTTTAATACAAAAAGTCATCTGATTATCTTATCGTATTTTATCTTCAACATATAAATTATATAATAAATAAAATTATGTAATACTTAATAATATTAATATAAATTTATTATTAATGTATTTTCAATTGTAAAGCAAAAGTAAAAGAAATCAAATTATTTTTTAGTGACAAAATTTACAAATAAAATTTATTAAACAAAATGTGTATATACAAAAGTTATTCCAGGCCAGAAATTCGCGTATTAAAGTTTTATATAATATATAAAAAACAAAGTATTATTACTTTGTTTTTTATATATTATATAAAACTTACTTATATTTTTCTAGATAATCTTTCTGTTACAAATATTTAATTTTCATGTAATATTATTATATCAAAACTAACATTTGTTATTGTATATGTGATTGTGGTAATATTGAAAGAAATAGTGCAGAATTAATATCAAATAAAGAGAATTAATATTAAAATTACATGTTTTGAAAGAAGTTGCAAATTGGATAATTGTACGATCATTAAAATATTTATTTTGGAGAACTATACAGTAATGGTAAAATGGAAACACACAAATATCAAGTGTAAATACTATACGTGTAAAATATGAACAATAGCGATAATGATCGGAAAACCAATGCGTATGTTTCTACACGATAAAAATAAATAAATGCAATTTTTGTGCAATTGTCCTAACATCAGTGATTACATGGGTTTATATCGCTCTTACAAAAGTTTCTAAAAATCTTGCGAAATATAAGTTATATGTCATGCAACATTCATATAAGTCATGAATTCTCTTGTAGTCATATTAAAAAAAAAAAAAGAAAAGAAAAAATAAATTTTAATTTAACAGTACTTAATGATTCTTAAGAAAAGTACAGAAAATTCTATTTAATCTTACATTTAATCCTATACATGATAGGAATAATAATATTAAATGATTCACAAAATGTAGATTATAGTAGATTATGGCTTATCATGAATCTTGTTGATTACAGTTGTTTTGTGCTCGATCGAATGCTCTGTGATATTCTTCCATCAAATACTTTTTATATTTCGTCTGATTGTTCCACAGCTCCGCAGCTTCGAGATTAAGTGGGCTCTCGTTGTTAGGCTCTATTTTGAAAAAGGAAATGATTTAAATCGATTTATCTTATTGATTGATCATATAACATTGATCTCTATTGCTTTATTTTACTATTACTTACCACTAAGGAGGGACTGTATAGAAAGTAAAATAGTGCGCACATCGTACAACGCACTCCACTTATCTTTTAGTATATCCAAACAGATGTTACCGCCAGTATCTACATTTGGATGAAAGCAAGGTGTAGCAAAGCGAACTATAGGAGCACTATATGGGTAACTGTGTGGAAACTCTAAGGTCAATTTGTATGTGAGACCAGCGTACACCTGCAACGCATCAAACAATTAGATCTTTCCCTTCTTGTTATCGTATCGCAACATTAACCAATGTCATTTAAAGTTCATTAAACAATCTCTTACTGTGTCTCTTGGTCCTGTGATAGTCCCAATCCATTTAAATAAATTCTCTCCCTCTGGAAAGGCAGATACCCCTTGCTCCGTGTTCATCATCAGCACCATAAGCTCTTTTTGTAATCTAAACAATCAACGGCAACATTTTCATGAACCAACAAAGTACGTATCGCATAAACCGATCACGAGAAAAAGAAAAAGTATTGTAGAAACGAATCCCGCAAAACAATACTCAATTAGCGTCGTGCAACTCGCTAGGTTATATAATTTCCAGGGAGATATATATTAATCACGCTATAACTTTCCTAAATAATCTTTCAGAATCGATTTTTAGGATCGTTTGACGGTCGACTTTATTCATCCGAGGAACGGAGGAGACAAAATCAACTTGTCAGCTCGTTTACAAGGTATCCTGCGAATAGATCTTCAGAATCACCCCATCCGTACCGTTTGCTGACCGCATGATTATCCTTCGGCAGGCTCTGCTTCTCCTCGGCGGCCTTCGTCGGTGTGTTCTGCGTCGAACTGAAAGGGTTCACGTTCTGGGCCATCCCTGAAGCGAGGCAAGTCTCCCAGGAAGAAGCGAACGGGATATCCCTCTTTCCACAACTCGATAGTTTTGTGATGGAAATTTGAATGCCAGCACGCGCGTTATCGTTCAGCCTGAAAACATTAACTGGATCTACTATTCGGTCTGAAAACATCTAACGGATCTATTATCCGGCCTGAAAACATTAGATGACGAAAACAGCTGACGAGCGGCAGCGCGTCAACCTAGGCTCATTTCTTTCCGTCTATCTCTTTGTGGACGTTTTAAATCGTGGGATTGAATTTTTTTCTTCCTAAAACCACGTTCCTCCTTTGAGGACGCCGCAGGAAGAAATTGACGTTCTGACAAATATTCACTGAAATCGAGCACATACTATCCGACCTGAAAACATCGAGCGGATCTACTATCCGGCCTGAAAACATCGAGCGGATCTACTATCCGACCTGAAAACGTCAAGCGGATCTACTATCCGGCCCGAAAACATCAAGCAGATATACTATTCGACTTGAAAACATTGGGCGGATCTACGATCCGACCTGAAAACATCGGGCGGATTTACTATCCGGCCTGAAAACATTGAGCGGTTCTACTATCCGGCCTGAAAACGTCGAGCGGATCTATTATTCGACTTGAAAACATCGGGCGGATCTACTATTCGACTTGAAAACATCGGGCGGCGAAACAGCTGACGAGCGGCGGAGCGTCACGCTAGGATCATTTCTCTTCGTCTAGCTCTTCGTGGGTGTTTTAAATCGCGGGATTTAATTTTTCCTTCCTAAAACCTCGTTCCTCCTTTAAGGACGCCGCAGGAAGAGATTGACGTCCTGGCAAATATTTAGTGAAACTGCCGTAGTTTGGCAAGACTTTCCGTCTGACGTCAGTGTCCTCTCGTTCAGAATATATCTGGAAAAAAATGCGAGAACGTTAAAAAAGCTCGATTCAGATCGAACTGTGACGATTTTTCTTCTTAATCACCTAATATGATGTGTTGTTGGGAAAGATACGCAGGCAGGTGCAATCCGGATGTTTGCAATACGTAGTACTATGTCATGTGAGTCAATACGTGATGAATCGACAGAAAGGACCTGCACTATATAGGATTTTGGCTTTCGATGGAATTGATTGTATTTTTCATATATTTTCATAGCTTGTGACTTGTTGAACAAAAGATGTAATGACTCAAAGCTAAATATTCAATACATACTGAATTACAGTCAGTTAAACATGAAAAATAAAAACTTTGCATATTACTTGTTACTTTTTGTTCAACAGATCACAGACTACAACACATGAGAAAATCAAATAATCTGACCAAGATTTAATTTTATATGATTAATAGAAGGTTTTTGAATTTATATGAAATATTAGGTAAAATCCTGGTAAAATCAGCTGATTTTTCTTACATGTAATTAATGACTTGCTGAACAAAAATGAAATTTATAACATATGAGAAAACCAGCTGATCTGACTAAGATTTAATTTTATATGATTAATATGGGGTTTCTAGATTTAAATAAAATACTAAATAAAATCCTGGTAAAATTAGCTGATTTTCTTACATGTAATTAATGATTTGCTGAACAAAAAATGAAATTTAGCTCAAAGCTAAATAAAACAGTTACTAATTTACAGCTAGTTAAATATGAAAACTTGGGCTCTACGATATGTTTGACTGGTTATAACTATCCAATATGTAACTTTGAGACTATTACAGGACTTGTCCAACTTTTGTTCAACAGGACATAACTTACGACATATGAAAAACATCCAATTCCAACAAAACCATAATCCTGTGTATTTAGTACAGACTCCTTTGTTACGAACAAGCAATTTCTATAATTTAATTTCTTATAATTTTTTCAGGTACATTATGTGTCATGATGGAATTATTTGATGATGAGAGTAAATTTGAAGCCTGATAGTTTGGAAATAGCAAAACTATGGCAGCGGTGCAAGACACACCGGAATCGGATACCGGAAGTTTTGAGTGTTTCAGAAATTACACAGCACCAGAAGTATTTGTACAAGGCCTAGCTGGCATCGTCGATCAGCAGGATGTGGAATCTATGATACGTGCTCAAAAACAGATGTGAGTTTCATCTGTGATGCTTTGATTTTTATATATAGTACTTTTATATTCATATATTTATTAATGCTAATTTTTCTTCTTTGCATGTGTTTTATATGTTTGCAGGTTGCAAAGGTTTGAAAAAACTAACGAAATGTTGACTAATTGCAATCAATTGTCAGTACACAGACTTAAACAGCTGGCACAGAGTTCAAAAAGCACATCGCTCTTTTAATTGAGATGAAGAGAGATCTGGATTATATTTTCAAAAGAATTCGTTTGGTGAAAAATAAATTGAGTCAACAGTATCCACAGGCATTTAATGGTAATTAATCACATACATAAATTAATAGCCTTAATGAAAAATTAAAGGAAAAAAGATAAAAAGGACTAATACGAGATAAGCCTTAAGGGCTTAATGCGAGATAAAGACTCGTAAATAATTTTAAATAATATTTATTAGTTTAGTAATTAAATTTTTGAATATTTTAAACTTTATATTTTTAATAAATATTACCTAAATTACTTTAAAACACCTTTCTCTCGACCAAACTGGCAAATTTCTTATATTACTTTACAATCACAACGTTTCGACTATATTTTTAGTCCTTATCAAGTGATTAACTATACAAAAACATACCGAAAAAGAAGTTCAGTAAATTCCATAATTTCGCTATTGATATTTCACAGTTAGATGAAATTCATACATACTTTTTGTGAAATATCAATAGCGAAATTATGTAGTTTACTGAACTTTTTAGGTATGTTTTTGTATAGTTGATTACTTGATAAGCACTAAAAATATAGTCGAAACGTTGTGATTGTAAAGTAATAAAAGAAATTTGCCAGTTTGGTTGAGAGAAAGGTGTTTTAAAGTTATTATTCTTTATTCTTACTGGCGAAACTAGAGGATTGACATTGCTAATTGATTACCTAAATTATTTAGGAGTTTTTTAACTTACGTTTGGGTTTTATTAGAGCCCTTTTTATTGATATACACATATATATATTTTTTCCATATTCAAAGCCTTTTTGTTTTATTGAAAAAAAGATCTATATAATTTATTATAAATACGCAGAGGCGGTAAGAAGCAGTTTAGCGGAGGAAGTCATTGTGGAGGATGTTGATTGCCCAGTAAAACCTCTCGAACCGGAAATTGTGCCATTGCCATCCATTCATGGTGCTGCTGATCGAGATCCCGATTCAGATGGTAATGAAATTTCCGCTAAAAATAGTCATATCGCTAAGGAGTAAATCTGATTTTTCGATGAATGTTCAAATGTAAATTGCTTAAAATTACCTACGGAACAAACGGGCGGTTAATTCAGGTAACACATTACACATAATATGTAATATTGGCGGAGAGATGAATCAAGTGTGTCTCTTGACTTTATTGTAAGAGACTAAAGAGAGAGACCTGTTTAATCTGAACCAATTGTTTAAATACTCAGATGATTTTATTGTTGTGAGATAGTACATTATATATATACATATATATATATATATATATATATATATATATATACATACATATATGTAAGTACATTATATCTTCTATACGAAAATGCACATAAAGAAAAGAATATTTTGAAGAGAATATTTCTACTAGAGATCGATGTTAACGAGAAGCGACAATATCTCGCTTCTTCAGAGATTGCGCTTTACCTGACACATTTGTGCACTTTCTCTCTCGTGGAAAGATAAACCGTTAGTACAAATAAAAAAAATCGCTGTAGAAAGAATATCAATTGCAATGACGTTCCGACATTTCCTATCATTTCCGTAAATTTTCGTTACATACTCGCATGTAAAAAAAATTCAATCGTCACATTAACCGATGCAAGTTTGCAATAATGGTACAAAGAGTAAATTTCCATACTCTAGTTCATTTACCGAAATCGTTGATAGAAAGTATTAACAAGCGCGAGTGATATAAATATATTTTTTTCTTTTTGCATGAAAAGTTTACACCTCACCGATTTTATCGTCACTTAAATATGTTGTGGGGAAAGCTCTTCTGTATAATTATATATTTAATATTATATAAATATATTTAATATGTTATAATAATATTATATATAAATATACATTATATATATAATTATATTATTTAAATATATATTATTTTATTTTAATTATATTATTATATACTACATATAGTTATATTATTAATTTATTATTTTAATATATTGTAATATTATATATTTAAGGAGTGATAAAAATTGTGAAGTGTAATCTTTTATGCAGTTTTACCTTTTCTGTTAATCACGAATGAGTGAGAAATAATATATCATGTTAGATATCTGAAATATTATGTCGTACACGCATTAAGTACGGAAGTTTACTACTACTTTACATGTTCTCTCTTCATTACGTATTCTTCGACTTTTCGCGTAAGTATGTACATATCGCATTAAAAAAAAAAAACATGCTTTTGATGTACGATTCATTCGCTTCTCGCAGAGTGCAAAGCTTGTTCATATGTTACATAGTGCATTATATGTAAATAAAGATTGTTCGTTGTCTACCTTGTCGCACACAGAGTTTCAATTTACTTCGATAGATAGTAACAATCGCCCGCGCACATAATCCATGATGATGCGACAAAACTTGGTATTTTATTAGGGACTCTCACAATCAGCCGTGGGATTTAATTAAGTCGGTTTCGCGCATCGCAGTTTCGCGCTAAAATAAAAGGGGTACGTTCGGTCGAATATTCGGGGACTTGACTCGGTGCGCGAATAATTCTGTATCGCAAACTGAAGTTTCTCACGCAAATAAATTCGTCGTATGCGCATTTCTTATTATAAGACACCATCTCTAACAGCAAACATATCCCGAGGACGTTCAGAGAACATCCTGAGGATGTTCGAATGTCCTGTGGATATTCTCTGAATATCTTTCGGATATATTGTGCTATTAGGGATTGGAAATATTATTTTAATTGGTCGGTCAAGAGAGAAAGAGAAATATATATATATATAATTGTTCTTCTTTGTTTCACCCCGTTCTCTCCCTGCACGCGCGTTTTGCGATTCGACTGATTATCCCGAACAAGTTTTTTATCCCTATCCTATCTGTAAAAAAAAAAAAAAAAAAAAGAAATCGCAAACACAGCGATAATTAGCCAGAAGACTAATGACATGACTTCCATTGTTGGTGTACAGTGCCGGTCGAGGAGTTTCAGTTCGCGAAGCTGCGCAAACGGCGAATAAAGAGTAACGACAGCTCGTCGACGGAGAGCAACAACGATCACAGTAACGCCGACACGTCATCCTGCACGTCCGACACCGGCTAAAAAAAAGCCGAACAGTATAAATGAGAGACAGGGGAGGAGAGAGAGAGAGAGAGAGAGAGACAGAGTGAGAGTGAGAGTGAGAGAGAGAGAGAGAGAGAGAGAGAATGTTTATTATTATAATGTCTCCCCTTCTCTCCTTCTCCTTTCCTCCAAAATTGGATTCATGCACCATACAGTGTTGCTTGCGAATATACGAGCTAATCAAACAATCAATCAATCAATCATTCAATCGGTAACGAGAGAATCGGATGGCGCGATATACCGAGACTACATACATCATATCATTGTGTAAGTTGTGGGCTTGTGAATACTGTCAATGTGAGCAAAATAAATTCTTTGTACACACGGTACAGCGATGTTGATCAATTCCATTCCGGTGAGAGTGTGAAAGAGAGAGAAAGAGAGGGAGAGTGTCCTTAGCGGTGGGATTAAGTTCAAGTAGATTTCAATTTGTTTGCATTGATTTTAATCTTTCTATGATTATTTAAAAAACAGTACTTTCAAGTAGACTCAATCTGAACGAGATAGGTTCGAATCTTCTGTAAGTTCAAACTTGGATTAAGTGTGTTCAGATTTTTAAAAGCATATATTGAACTTGATCCCATCCTTGATTCCTAATTTTATGCATACCCGAGAGCTTTATTTGCAAATGCATAGTTAGATTCTGAACTCTCTATGATTGATTATTAAAAAAAGAAAAAATGTTTGCAAACAGATTCGAACCTGGATCAAACATGTTCGAATTTTTAAGTACGTATTGAACTTACAATTAGTATATGTATGTTGAATTTAATTCCACCCCTATTTTTGTGAACACCCGAGAGCTTTATAATTTGTGAATGCATTTAAACTCTCTGAGTCTGATGATTAAAAAAAAATAAGGAAAAAAGTACTCGCAAGTAGATTCAAACCTGGAGTAAGCGTTTGGATCTTTTAAGTATATATTGAATTTGATCCTATCCCTATTTCTTGTGGACACCCAAGAGCTTTAATTTGCGAATGTATTTCGAACTCTCTATAATTAAAAAGAAATGAATAACTACTAAATAAATAAATAAAAAACAGTATACTTTCAAGTAAATTCGAGCTTAGACAAGATGCATTTGAACTTCTTATAAATAAAAACAATACTTCTTGAAAAATAATATTCCAAATATATTTGAATCTGGATCAACTATGTGTTCGGATCTTCAAGTACATATATTAAACTTGATCTCATTCCTAGTCCTTGTGGACACCCGAGAAGTTTAATTCGTGAATCGAGTCGAGTCGAGATTCGCCATCGGCGAAACCAGCCACCTGGGGCGTTTCATTAGCGAGGACGCAGCCGTCGCCGTCGTGAAATATTTCGTTCGTCCGGCTGGCAAAGGTGGCGCCGAGATTAATGCGAATGCTTTTCACGGCTGCATCCGCGCGCAGGGTCGCTATAGTTAGTCTGGGCGACGTCTGGGAAAGATTCACGTGACTTCTTTCGGCGCGTTAATTCAGAAGGAAGACATTCGAATGTCCACTGCACATGTTTAGGGAATGACGTTATGTGAAATTGCGGTTTAGACATTCGGCGCGTTTTCTTCCTTAAATCATTTATTATTAAATTATATTAAATCATTTATCATTTTTCCTAAAACCATTATTTAATAAAGGATGACATGATATATTTTTTAATGCAACTATGTTGCGATATTTATCGATTTATATCATTTTTAATATAATGACAACCGATGTTACATAAATCGGAAAGTATCCCTAGTCTTATGTAAAATGGATTAAATCAGTTGGTTTTTTCATATGTTGTAGTTTGCTGAACAAAAGATGTAATAGCTTCAAAGTTAAATAATGGGCAATTACTGAGTTATACAGCTAGTCAAACAACTCGCAGAATTTGAGTTTTTCGTGTTTGACTGGTTGTAAATCAGTAACTGCCTATTATTTAGCTTTGAGCCTATTACATTTTTTGTCCAGCTGATCATAAGCTACAACATATGAGAAAACCAGCAGATTTTATTAATTTTATCTATAGGATTAATACGGAATTTTTGAATTTATATGAAATCCCAGATAAATTGAATTCCAATAGGGATTTCTTATATGTTATAGCTCATGATCTACTGAACAAAAATGTACTAGGCTCAAAGCTAAATAATAAATAGTTATGATTTACAATTAGTCAAAAACTCGGGCCTTACAAGTTGTTTGACTGGCTGTAACTTAATAATTGTCCATTAGGTTTGAAGCTATTACATCTTTTGTTCAGTAGGTCATAAATTACAATATGTGAAAAACCAGCTAATCTTACAAAAATTGAATTTTATTTAGGATTAGTGCAGATTTTTGAGTCTATACAAAATCATAGATAAAATTGAATGTTGGTATAAAATTCAGTTGGTCTTCTCATATGTTGTAAATGATCTGTTGAAAAGTGCTATTCAAAGATAAATAATAGACTTACTGATTTATAATCAGTCAGACATGAAAAACTCGGGCTCTACGAACTGTTTGATTGACTTTAACTCAATAATTGTCCATTATTTAAAGAGGCTATTGCATTTTTTATTCAGCAAGCCATAAAAGCTACAAGTGAAAAAACGAGCTGATTTAACCGAAATCCATTTCATATAAGATTAGTGCGAGGAAGTTTCTTTCACTTCAAAATCATCTTGCTTGCTTCGAATTATTTTTTATTCTGGAAGTTTTAAAAATAGCTTCGCTGAATTTCTTTTTTTTTTTGTTTAGATTAATTCGCATGTGTTCTTGCTTCCCAATTTCAAATATTTGCTCCACGAGCTTCACTCCTGTTTGGATTCTTTAACGAAGTCGCACTCGTAATCTAGGCAACGATCGTAATTATTTACAGATTAACTACGGAATCTCCGGAAGGTTCTTGGAATGGCGGATCACGAATGTTCGATCGC